GTTCCACAGCTTGCATCTGTCAAAAGATTTCCTCATGCTGCACATAATATGTTACACATTTGCAGCCGGTATGACTGGCTCTGTGCCCTGGGGTAGAGGCTGTGAAAGGTTAACTGAAAGGGGCTGGCTTTGTGGAAAGAAGCCAAAGGCGCTGCAGTCCTTGGGGTGGAAAGATGGGCTCAGCTAGATGTGGTGCCTGGCACTGGTTGAAACTGGAGGAATGCAGGGCATTCAGCAGCAGTCATACTAGGAATGTCTCTAATGCTGTTCCCAAGGGAGGGGAGATGGTTTTGTTATAATCCCTACCTCCAGCCTCATCTGAGGGGGCAGAGTCTGACTGGGAAAGCCCCCTCGGGCAATCCTGGCCAAAGTGGTTCTGATCAATGGGCCATCAGCACAGGTTGCTGCCATTGATGACTTGTGGCAGTAAGGGAGCTGGTCCTACTTCAAGCATAGAGCCTGGCAAAGAGGAAAATCCAGCTGAAGAAGCTTTTCCAATTCTGATTGAGTGTCACATCCACATTCACCACCGACTACTGTGGGGCATACACTGCCTAGACAATACCAACCTCATGGCCATGCTACAGTGGTGTTGAATAGTCAGCAGGGTCATACAAAAAATATTCTTGATGCAAAAGGTGACTCCTCCCCTTCCCCTATGCCATGTAATTTCAAGATACCTGCTCAGCAATTTTCTCTGTGTTCCTCAAGTTGGGTCCTGGCAGCTATACAAGTATTTAAAAGGTGTAAACTCTGAAGAGGAAAGTGGAATTTTAGCATGGTCAAATGGGATGAAACTGAGCTAGGGTAGATGTAGGGAATGAATGTTAGCACAGAATGTGACCACTCATCTCAGCAACATGGGCTACTGCGAGCACATCACAGCTGTCCTCTGCTTCTTCCACTGGCTACCTATGGAAGACAGTGTCCAGTTCAAGGCCTTAGCCTTTATCTTCAAAGCATTCAATTACAGTTGGGTGAATACATGATTTTTCAGTTTGGTGGCAGTTCTGAAAAAATGCTGGTTTGGGTCTAACTGAATTTGAAAAATGCTGGTGACTTGAAAAAGGCCATTTTGGGATGAATGAAATGTTTGATCTGGAACATCTTGGGCAGGGTGCTTTTAAAAGGCTAGATCCAAAACCCAAGAGGAGGTAGTGCAGCCACCACCTCCTTGACAAGCTTTAGAGCGTTTAGGGGTGAGGGCATTCAGCTGGGTTGTGGGAAACTTGGGTTCAATTTTCCCCTCTGTCTGATATGGAGAATGGATTTGACACTTGGGTCTCCCATGTTGCAGGCATGTACTCTAGCCACTGGGTTTCATTCTCACCTGTTGAAGCTGTTCCACTTTGTATAACTCATTACAGAGTAGGCCAGAGCGATTGCCTCTATGGCCTGGTGGTTTGGGCACTCACCTCTGGGAGATGGGAAGCCCAACTTCAAATCTTGCTCTATTATTTATACCCACTGGAAGAGCTTCAACAGTAGAGATTGAGAAAGGCCCACATCAGAATAGCCCATAGCACACTCCTGCAGTGTGGGAGAGCTAAGTTTAAATCCTGTCTCCACATCAGGCAGAGGGAGGAATTGATCCTGGGCCTTCCACAACCCAGATGAGTATCCTACCCACAGACCTGAGATTTTAAAGGAGGCAGTAGCACCACCTACTCCAGCTGTTGTGCGAAATGACACCTTAGTCCCCAAAAAGAATTTTTGGCTGAAACAATTCTGCATCAAATCCATGCATTTTTTGGCTAATTTACTATTTGCAAAAAAAAAAAAAACAAAATACCATAGCTCAGAGACAAAGACTGCAGTCAATTGCTCCGCTCCTTAGCAATAACAAAACTGCCTGCAGCAAGAGTGCAGTTTGTGCAGAGCTCTCTCAGCTGCTAATTCAAGATTCGGACCAAACTTCCACAGGAACTAAGAATTATCATAAACGTCACCACCTTCCGCTCCAAGTGCAGAGCCCCCTTCTTTGATCTCGCATTTACCAATCTAAATATATAATACGGTGTACGTACACATTTAAAATATCCTCACACCATTTCCTCTGAGGGAGCGGACGAGAGACAGGAAGAACCACAGTGAGAGATGTTAGTCACACTGCTTAATGCACTACTGGAAGATGTTCCGATACCACAGTGATGAGGGCTGTACAAGAGCCAGGACAGAACATCAGGAAGCATTTATCAACAGTGCGGTCTATTAGACTGTGGAATAGTATTGCCAGAAAAGCTGGAAGCTCCACCTCTTCAGCAATTTAAAACAAGATGGGACAAAGCTCTGGAGAGTATACTGCAGTTAATCCTGGGCTGGGCGGGGGTGACAGAGATGATGTGATCCAATATGTAGCCCCAAGCTCTGAGTGTCTCTAGGCTCTGTTTGCCAGAAGCTGGGAATGGGCCACAAGGGATGGATCATTTGATGATTGCCTGTTCTGTTCATTCCCTCTGAAGCATCTGTCATTGGCTATTGTCAGAAGACAGGATACTGGGCTAGATGGACCATTGGTCTGACCCAGTATGGCCATTCTTATGTTCATTCCCATCTCAGATTCCTATAGGGTGCTGTGGACTGGATAAAATGGCAAAAAGCTCATGGCTCCTCATTCCTGAGACAGGTGTGTAGCTATACTGAGGGGTCAGACAGTATTGAATGGAGGACAGAATAAACTCTCCCAACCCCCCCAGGGGAACTAGTGTCTTCTGATGTCTGTCTCCTCACACTGATGTTTTGAAGGTCAGGAGCTGTGTTTACCGTTTCAGCATGGGCTCTGTTTGCATTAATTTGAGCTTGAGGTCTGCATGGCATTCCTTTGGTGGAATCCTCATGGACTCTCTGGAGACATGTCTCCCCCAGCCCATGTCCCAGCAAAAAACACCACTGAACAAAATGCTTCTGAGAGCCCCAGTAGCCCCTAAAACTCCATTTACCTCAGTCCATGACTCAGTACATTTTGCAAACAGGTTCTGAAATTTCATTGCAGGATCCATAACTTAAATTTCCCCCAAAGGTAGGGGGTATCCTATACAGAGCACATAAGTAGGAAGATTACACCTATTCTGTTGTAGGATTTTCCAGTGCCCATCAATGAGTATCCAAGATACCCTGTTGGGACTCAGGAGATCTGGGTTGCATTCCCTGCTCTGCCATTGACCTGCAGTGTGACCTTGGGTAAGTCACATCACCTCCCTGAGCCTCAATTTCCCCATCCGTGAAATAGGATAACAATACTCATCCTCCTTTGTGAAGTGCTTTCAAATCTATGGGTGAGAAGCACAACAGAAAAGCAACCTATGATTAAACTCTGCCCCTGGTTTTTTGTTCACCCCATCTGTGGAGTATGGGCAATGAAATATTTCTAGCACACTGGAAAGCACTGGAGGCAGCACACAGAACAGGCTCCAACAGATTGTTAAAGGAATTGTGGCTTGCAGTGGTATGCTTTATTAATACTAGGTTGAGACCAAAAACATGCTCAATCAGGACATTCCATTCTTAGGTAGCAAATGCCTAGAGAGTTGGAAGAACAGGCCCAAAGCATGGAGGAGGCAGGCCTGGTAGCTGTCTAGGGTAGCAAAATGTTTAATAACTGGCTGGCTGGATGCAGCCCAATAAGAGTGTGGGAGTTCAGGAGAGTTACTGGTTTGCTTATAGCAGCAGAACCTTTCAGGCCCTGTGAGATGTGCAAGGGGGGTACATAATATAGTGTGGATTTCCAAGCCACCCACTCTCCTCTCCCTCCTTTGGCGCCAAACGCACCACAATATTCCTATTGTTTAGCCAGAGTGCTTGTTACACAAAATCCTGCTGTTCTCTCCAGCTGCCCTGGGGAAGGAGCTCAAATTAGGCCATCCCTGCCAGGCTACTGAGTAATGGATGGAGCCCATTTTTCTCCGCTGGGTTAGTAAGGGTGAAGGGAGGGATCTGCATAGAGCAGCACCAACAAAGCACATGCCCTACCGCACCCAGTCTGAGTCACACCCTGCTCCAGTCTCACTCATCTAACTAGTTTCTGATTTGGTTTCCAGGGTCCCTCCATAAGAACACACATCTCACGTACTATCAGATACCCAGGTACACAGTTTTAACTGACATTGTAAACTCACTGGGTTGGGCTTGTGACTTATTATCTGGTAAGCACCATGCATACCTATGGGGCTGTATACAGAGGGTAAATAAAAGATTATTCTCAGTTTTGTCCTCATCCTCAAAGGAAACCTGCACAACACTTTCAAAAGAGGAGCCTGGGAGCTTAAATTCATTACTCTGCTAGACACTAAAAATGATGGACTGAACAGAGATATTGGATTTATGGTTTATTACAACAATCTGTAACCCACTGGGCCCCCCTCCCACTTTCTGTCCTAGGACTGCAGAGGTGTTAAAGGGCCACTCTATCTTGAATGGTCCCTTAAAATACAAGTGCTAACTACTATACTTAAACATGTTGCACGTAGCTGATGGCTGCAGGCTGGGAGACAGGGGAGTACCTTTCCCAGCCCTAAGAGCTCCGTGCAGCTCCAAAGCATGTCTCTCCCACCAACAGAAGTTGTGCCAATAAAAGTTATGATCTCACCCACCTTCTTTTTGGCTCTATTATTGTTCTCAGTGCCAGGAGCGCTGGAAGCCCCCCGTGGTTAATAGCAGGCACTCAGGGAACCCCTTGGCACGGGGCAGGCGAGACCCCTGGCGTGCTCAGACAGCGGACATGCCCAGGGCCAGCTGGACACGAGGTACCGGGTGGCAATGCGGGACACTCCCCCTTGCCCCGGGGTATGCCGAGCGCCCAGGCCCTGCCCCATGGCCCCTGGCCCGTGCCAGGCTGGGACCCTCCCCGCCGCGGCTCGGGCCGAGGAAGAGCCGGGGTGCGGGGCTGGGCGGAGGAGCGGCGGGGACAGGTCTGAGCAGAGCCCGGCGCGGGGAGGGAGGCGCAGCCGGCGCCCGGAGGGGGTAGGAGGGAGCCGCGAGCCGCGGCGGGGCACGGAGCGCAGCGGAGCCGCGGCACCGGAGCCCTGTGATCCCCGCCCCGCAGGCGGAGCCCCCTGCCCGCCGGGGCCGAGCGCAGGGACAGGAGCCCGCAGGCCGCTCCCGGGAGCCGCCCAGGCCCGGGCCGGAGAGCGCGGAGCCCTGTCCGCTCCCCATGAGGCTCCCCCCGGCGGCGGCGCCCTGACCTCCGGATCCGCCCCGATGTCGGGTCCCCGGGGCGCCCTGCAGGCCTGGTGCCGCCGCCAGTGCGAGGGCTACCCCGGCGTGGAGATCCGCGACCTCAGCAGCTCCTTCCGCGACGGCCTGGCCTTCTGCGCCATCCTGCACCGGCACCGGCCCGACCTGCTGTGAGTACCGGGCCGGGAGCGGCACCAGGCCCAGCAGCGCCGGGCTCGCCTGAGCCCCGGCCGCGGCCGCCCGGGGGCGTCGCTCCGGCCCCTACACGGGGCGGCGAAGACCGCACCCAGGAACCCCGAGGGACAGGGGGGACCCTGGGACGGGGGGTAGGGCCACCGGGAAACGCCCTGGGATAGAGGAAAGGGAGCCCAGGCCCCCCCCCAGCTCCCTGGGGCAGAGGCACCGGGGAACCATCCTCATACCTAGGCTATAGGGGAGGTGACCCTGACACCCAGATGTGTAGGGATTTAGTGCAGGGAGCTCTGGGACCCCTCCTGCCTCTGAGGTTTATAAAGGGCGTTAACGGACTGTCTGTTAGGGTCTTTTAGTTCTGGGATTTAAGAAGAGTTGGGGGAGCTGGGCCAGAGGGGCAGCGGGAGGAGTGGGGTGGGATGCTTGGAGACTGGCTCCTGGGTGTGCGTATGTGGGAGCAACTTTAAAACATTTCCTGGACTGCAAGTGGAGTTCTTTCACATTTATTGCATCTGAATAGCTGCAGCCCTTGGAATTTAATAATAATAATAGGTTACATGTGTTTAAGGTCTTTAATCCATGGATCTTGAAAACACTTTATCAACCCTATGAATTAAGCTTTGAGTATCTGTTAATTATTACCCACATTCTACAGAGGGAGAAACTGAGGCACAGCGAGGTTATGTGACTTGCCCACATTATCCAGTCAGATTTGGGAATAGAACACAGAATTCTTGATTCCCTGTCCCCTGTGCTAATCACAGGACAAATCACTCTCTTATTTGAAAAAATAAATAAAAATAAAAGTGAGGCTTGAGGAAGGAGCCCTAACCCCTATCTCTGGAACTGTCACTATCAAATCCTACAGGATAGTCTGACGAGGACAGTAGGAAGTAAATGGGAAGTGATGTTCCTAATACCATCCTATATACCCTGTTCTCCCCAAAATGGGCCTATACAGTATTACTGCAGCATGTGCCCGATATGCGCTATTCTGTCGGCTAAGGCATTTTTGCATTTATTTTGAAAATTCCCAGCACTGTCTCAGTCAATAAGCTTCTTCTTTTCCAACAACTGTTTATAAATGCAGCATGTATGGACAAAGCACCGGAGAATATGCTGTAGGAAATGATCCTGCATTGGCCAGGAATGAGGGATGGACAAATGTTACTTAACAGGTGTCCTTCCTAGGCTCCTGTGATTCAGTATGTATGCATATTTTTCAGTGGAGGGGGTTTGTGTGCTAATTCAGTTTCTTCCTGGCCTGATTAAGTGCCAGCGAGGAGGGCATGCTGCTTCAGTGGGGGACTTTCTGATCTTGGGTTAGGGGAGTGCCAGGTGCAGGCTTAACTAGTATAATGCTGCGCTGAACACCAGAAATGAGTGATGATGACAGTGGAAAATAGCCTCTAGAGCTTCCCACCATGCTAATGGCTTGGAATTTAGTTTCTCAGTCTGCACTCCTTTTGCAGGAGGCTCTTGGGTAGAAGGGAATGGACTAACAGACAGATTAATGAGAGGGACAGAGACAGGTGAGTTTGGGAATGGTGTTGCTGGGGGTGATGCTCTCCTCCTGGAGAAATCATATAGCCAGATAGGCAGCTGAGATGATTCCCACTCCTCCCCCAAGCTGCATGCTGTGGCCAGCTCAGAAATCCACCATCTGTCCGTTCCAGTCTTTGCTGCGACTAGTGATCTGATGCTCTCCCCTTGTCCCTAGTACACACATTTCTTCTCACCCATAGGCTAGTCTCTTAAATCTGACATACAGCAGTGCATGTTCCTTCCACAACCAAGGCATTTTTCTTACCACCCCAGTTGAGGTTGCTTAGCACAATAGACTCCTCTTTTGTTTAGGTGCCCTAAAGATTGCTACCCAATTAACAGAAGCCACAGTTTTAATATTAATGTGGCTGAGGAGCTGCAGCACACATCCTATTACAGAACGGGCCCATGTAGTTAGGAGAAGGCGCATGGGCGGCGGGTATAATAGGCCCCGGCGCTGCTGTGGCCGCCGGACCCCAGTTGCAGGGTTTTGGGGAGAATATTTTGATTTATTATGCCCCATGCAGGTTCCGGGATGGCTGAGGAGGCAGTACATGCTATCCAGCTCCCCAGGTTCATCAGTACTCCCTGGACTCTGGCCAATGGGGGGGGGAGCTTGGGTCTCTGGTTGGCCTGGGGCTCCTCTGGCTGAGGGGGGAGGGTGCTCGGGGCTCCTCCAGGTGTAGGGGGGTGTCTCGGGGGTCTGACTGCAGGGGAGGGGGAGGGGCAGGTGGAAGGGGCGGAGCTGGGGCTAGCCTCCAGGTGCTATCTGAACTGGTGGGCTAGAGACCACGTCTATTGCCTGCCTATTTCAGGAGTCACCTGCACAATGCTCAGCATGGGTCACTGATGTGGAAGAGGCAAACTAAAACAGGGACGAGTAGCAATTCATACTGTTTTTATTTTTGCATTTATCTCGGCTATTAAGGGGCTGAAAAGCAAACCAACAGGGCCAGCGTGAAAGTGAGATATCCAAAACCCTACAGTAAGCACCCCTAAGTCATCTGAAGGCTTCCTCATTAAGTGGAATTACCATCTCCTTAAGCTTGCTCTTAGTATCAGTGGGCTCAAATCTGTTCCCTGGCAGATATCTTAACTAAGAGCATCTCAGTTAAGTGGAGTGAACTGTATTGTAAAGACAGACCTAGGGCCTTACAAGGACATAGCATGTTAAGAAAGGATTTTTCAAGGGGTGGCCGAAGGGTGTGCCGTCTCATCTGATTTCAGTCGCTTCAGCATGTCCTGATTTGGAAACTCAAGGATATGGAGTAATAAATCTCTCAGACAGCGGAGCAAAAGCATTCCCCCTGTTCTTCTAAATTGTATTTATAAAGCACCGTCAATCCTCTTGGTAATAGTATCTGGCTGGTAATTGTGAATAGCCTTGTACTACGGTTAATGGGCTTCCAATGTTATGGGCCGTTCCAGCCGCTTTCAAACAACTGTGCTGCTGCTGCTCATGCCGATTGCAATGGTGTGAACCCAAGAGACCCTGAAGTTCTGGATACACATGCATTTATATGCTATCATGTTCCAGCTCCATCAGGGTGTGAAACAACATAAGCATGCAGCAGCTGTGCTGAGCTGGATGGCGCTCAGTCATGGAACTCACTTCTGTGTAATAATGCTAACCCAGCGCTCTGCTCCTTAGGGTTTCTCCTGGTTCTAGAGCGTCTCAGTTTGTGCCTCTCCTATTTATCTATTAGTTATGTGTAAAGCATCTAGCCTGTCTATTATCTAGATGCTCTTGCTCCATGGGGTGTCTAGCGCAGAACAGCTACTGTGGCCCCAAGTGAGATGTACTTGTCTTGATAAATTCTTGGATGTGAAGGGGAAGCTGTTTGAGAAGAGGGGTGTGATGCCTTTTCATGAAATGATGCAGAGACCATAGCCTGTCTCTTGCCATTGTTGAAAGTAAAGCTAGTTTCCATTCTTGCTCTCCTAAGTCCACTCAAACTAGACCAATTAATTTGAAATTCCACAGGTGGGATCTTATTGCTGGGTGTAGATACACTCTCCTGGAAAGCTTCAGGCAAATGGGACAAGACTTTTGGAAGCAACGAGAGTCTAAAAAAGCAATGAGAGCTGCAAGTGCTCAGCACCTTTAGAATCTGGCCCAAGGTAGCTCAAGTTGGGCACCCAAACACAGGGGTGTTAAAAATATGAGCCTAAGCCATTTGCTGCTGGGGTACTGTGGTTTATGGGGTTAGGCACAGGATTGGGAGTCTGGAGATGTGGGTTCTAATTCTGCTTTTGACCCCCACTGGTTTTGTGACCTTGGGCAAGTGACTCAGATTCTCTGTGCCTGTTTTCCCCATCTGTAAAATGGGCAACAAAGGTCAGTCTCCTGGCTGAGACCTGGACTGAGATTCTGGAGATTTGGGTTCAGTTTGTAGCTTTGTCACAGGCTGTGTGTGTGACCTTGGGCAAGATACTTAATGTCTTTTTCCCCCCATCTGTAAGACTGGAATAATATATCCAGACCTACTTCACAGGGGCCTGAGAGGATTAATTAGCTAATGCTTGGACAGTGCTTTGAAAATCTAAAGCACAATGTAAGTATTTAGTGGGCTTCCCTTGCAGCTTGGTGAAGCAAGAAGCAGCTATGTACGTGGGAGAGTGAACATCTCTTCCCATGTCCTTGCACTGCTGCCTTGCACAGAGCCTGTGGAGGGAGACTTTCGGGGTATAGACACCAAAAGAATAGGACAGTGTCTGGCCTCGGCATTTTCGGTGGAGAGAGAGAAGCAAATGTACACCGAAAACGAGAGGAGAAGGAGGGACACACCATAGCAACATCAGATCTGAAATATTTAGTCTGCGTCGAGTCATCGGTTCAAATCCCGGCAGGGTCAGCTCAACTATTCCTCTCTGAGAGAGGTAGATTTCTATGCAGTATGCTGTGTGGATTTTTCAGACAGGATCTTAAAAGCTGAAGTCCTCCCTGCTATGTGTGGCCGTTAAAGAGCCCACAACGTATTTTGGAAAAATATAGGAGTTTGCTCTAGTGTTTGCTGTACAAAATGCCCCCTGTCTCCCAGTATTTTGTGGGCTTGTTGGCTGCTGTCCTAAACCACAGAGGCCACTACTGCTGCTGTATCTATGTAATTGGCAAAGCACTTTGGGATGAAAGATGCTATATCCATGGAAATTCTGACTCCCAAGTGTGTTCTGCTTTGTTGGGACTTGCTGAATCAGGGCAATCATTCTACTGGATGTCTTCCAGGAAACTGATTTAATAATGAGGAATGGTAATACAGATGCTTCATCAGGACAGTATTCCCATGAATCAGATATTATGGGACTGCCTTAGGCTGATGCCAAAGTAGTGATATATATTTACCGAGGTGCCAGATAGTTGTGAAATTCTAAATTCTGGTATTTCAATCCAGGAGTCGCCAAATAAAGCTAAAAGGGTGTATTTTCCTGGAGGTTTTCTGACCTGCAGCACCCAAATGCACTGGAAGGCTCCACCCCAATGTGTGTTAGTTACTCCCTCCCTGGGTGCTGTTGTGTGCCCCACGGAGCAGAACTTGGGCTCCTCAGGGCCAGATGGAGCTGTAAAAGAAGGAGTGTGATGGACAGGAAAAGAGGGGGATGGGCCGAAACCTACCCACCATTTGTGTGCTACGTTTCTCACCATGGAGATCTGAGGAAGGAGACCAGGTGGAGCATAGTGTTTGTGGAATTTATTCTCTACAGTCAAAGTTGAGACCCTTCCACCCTGCCTTACCAGCAAAGCCACCTGTATCTTCGCACTCCCAATCACTTGGTAACACTCATCATCATCTTCTTTCCACATGCACACCCCACCCACCCAAGCAGAATGGGCCTGTCTGAAATAAAGTGGTTTTGTGTTGGCAGAAGAGATTAGGGATAGGGGTGAAGATTATTTTATATTTCGTCTGGCTTTGGATGCTCCTCATTGGCCAGTGTTATGGTTGCTACAAACTCCACCAAAACCAGTGCTCAGTTTCCAAGCCAATCATGTACACAAGGAAAGCTAGGAAATTCAAATGACGGTTATTATTTTTGAAAAGGGAGATACAAGGTTAACATACTCCAGTCAGCCTTCACTCTGATCTCATGTCACGTCTCTCGTGTTGCTGAGCTTCTTGTTTCTAAGAAAAACAGAACAAACTGAATTCTCAGGCCAAAAAAGCCCTTTAGTTTGAGTTATGATCATAAATATTTACGGGGAAAACACCTGTGTGGACCCTTGTCTTTAAAAAAAAAAAAAAAAAAACCCACACACAGCTGTGAGCCAGTAAATCCAAAGTTAAGGTTATGGATGATAGGAAAAAAATGCCAAATATGGAAATGAAGAGTTAAGATACATCAAATAACCTTAATTCAGCCCTTGTATTCCCACATGCTCCCATTACATGGTACAATGCTCAGCATAGATGTGTGTGGGGGTGTGTGTGAACACATCTGTATGTGCCACCTACTTGACCAGGGTCTAGCCTCCAACTCCACTGGTCTTTGGTGAGAACAGCAACACCAATGTTTTGCCTCTGAACAGAGGAAGTCTATTCTTGCTGTGTCAGAGGCTGTGACTGGGGTTTATTTCAGTGTTTCACAGATTTCCTGTGCAACCTTGGGAAAGTCACTGAGGGACTTTCTTCCATCCTTCCTCATGCTGGGAGTAGTCGTATTACCCATCTTTTGCTGCGAAGCTAAACTGGGACAGTAAAGATGAGGACATTTTGTTTTTAGTGTAGCCACAACCAGTCAGACTCCTCCTGGGTTAAAGTACTAAATGTAAGTAAGAGTGGCCCATTCTGATCTTTAATTTCTGGGCTTGTGTCCTCAACCTTAAAATGGAGATGATACTTATCTACCTCACAGGTATGCTGTGATGCTGAGTTCATTGTTTAGTATAGAATGCTGAGCTCATCAGCTGGACGGTGCTGTAACAAGCACAAAGTGATGCTGTCATTACACTTCATATGCACACCACAGACATATCCAACTCCTATCCTATATTTTCTTCACACCAGGTACTGGAAATCTTACAACCATTTTAACCCTTTACTCTCCACACTGGTTGGGCCTCCCCTGGCACAGGAAATTTTAAACCCTTGTAGATAGGCTACATATACGCTCCACTGGCTATGATTTAAGTTGTCTGCAGCTGCATATGAAATGCCAGAGTATGCTGGGGTTTAAAGTGTTCCCAGATTCTTGTCTGAATCAGCAAGGCATCCAGTGTTTAACGTTCCATCTAGCTGCAAAACTGTATTTGATTGATCATCTGCCTCAGACGGGGGCATAGGGTGTTGGGGAGATGAGGGTAGAGGTGGAGTAGTCTGAGGCACTTTTTCTGTATTTCTCCATGTTTGGGGTGTTTTTGATACGTCATCTTAAATCTTCTACTCTATCACAGTGGGGCTTCAATACTGGCTGGAGCCTTTAGGTGCTATTGGAATACAGATGATGATGATAAAGTCTTAATTTCCTGGCTTTCAGCCCTTTGTGTTTTTTCAAATTGCAAAATTCTCTTACCGTCTCTTGCCCTGTTTGCAGTCTTAAATCTACTTTAACAAAGGTTTTGTTTGTCTGGGAGTTTGGCTTTTTGTTGTTGAAATGCCCTTGTAATATTGGTTGTCCCGTGAACCTGTTTGTGGTGTCTCGTGGAGCTGTTCCTCCCTTTTCTCATATCACCCCTCTGTGATTTCTTGTTCCAGAAATTTTGATTCACTCTCCAAGGACAATGTCTACGAGAACAACCACCTGGTGAGTCCCCGTGACGCCTTGCACTGAGGGAAAGAGGGAGTCATGGACGTGGGAAATAACATGATAGAGTACGCAATGTTGGCATAAAGTGCACTTGAGGGCTGGGGGATGTGGTGGCAGCCATCTGTACAAGGCTAGAAAAATCTATTCACTCTGGATAAGGCAGAAGCTTACCTGGGTGAGTGAGGGGACCTGAAGTGTCTTCTTCCACACATTCTAAGCTCCCATTAAAGAAAATATAAGCTTCTAGTTTATGTCGTTGCCAAGATAACTTTCTGAGTGGGAAACCAATGTGGCGGCATCTTGACAGCTCCATTGCTTCTGCTGTTCTGAACTTTGCCAAACAGCTGAAGATTGAAGTTAACAAGAGTCCGGTTAGTTTCCCAACCTCATGGGCAGCAATGCAGCTGTCTAGATTCATGTCAACTTCACGATGCTCCTTGGAAAAGCAGTGCCTGCCTCTGCTGCAGATGATAGGAGTTATTGACAGGGGAGGAAGATCCAAAAACCAGAGGCTGGGAGTAGAGTAGAAGATCAGTGACCACATCTTCCCTGTCTTCCTTGCAACAGCCAGGAGGCATGGGTTGGCTTAAATTAGTGGAGATCCTCCTCCTTCACAGCAGCCAGGAGGCTCTTGAGGAGAACAAAGATAGAGAAGGGTCCTGTCCCTCAGCAGCTAAAGGTATGGCTGAGCGGGAGCTTCACATTTATCAGACACTAGCAAGAGGCTGACATAAAAATGGAGCCCCGGAGCATGGTCTAGGGACAGCACCCTCACCCTTCCCAGCAGCTGGTGGTAGGAGAGCTGGGTTTCTCACCAGGATGGACTTTCATGTCTTGACAAGTAAACGACTGGTAGATGTTTTCAAGTTTTGTTTGATGGGATGCACAGCAAAGGTGCTAGATACACACAAATCACAACCGGAGCGTCTCCTAGTGAAGTATCATGCTCGAGGAAGGAGTGGTTCTTGGGGATTGGTGGCCCAAAGGGCAGTATGATCCTAGGGAAGGGACATTCCTGAGGCCAGCACAGTTTCCGGTGAAGTGATGGTCCCAGAAGTGGTGTGGTGCCAGGTCGAGCCACTGCTCTGAGAGAAGCCATGATCACAGGAGTGCCCTCCGTGGAACAGGACTGAATATGGTGTCCTGGGGACGATAGTGCTTCAGTGAAGCAGTGTTCCCTCACCGCCCTTCTGCCCAGCCCCATCACCTCCAGCAAGCCCCGCTGTTTGGTGCTCACTGGGGTGCGAGAAATATGCTTATTTGTTCCCCTTTGGTCTGAGAGGTTAGTGGTGGAATGTGTTTGGATCCCTTTGTGGCTACCAAGTGAGTGTAAACAGGAATCCAGTGAGAATGGAATGGTGAGGTTGTCTGAAAATATCTGATGTGAGAGAGAGCTGGAAAGACAAGGAGCCATGGAACGTAGGCATCACTAGGGCTCGTGGAAGGCTTGGGTTCAAAAGAAAATAAGTCAGTGGGGCAGCTGGGGATCCCAGGGGTTCCCCAAAATAATCACACACTCCCACCCAAAGGGAACTGAGCTACAACATTTGGAGTTCATTCAGTCTCAGGGCTTCCCATACACTGTGCTCCCACAATGGGATCCTAGCTCTGCTCTGTCTTCCACAGTCTTCCACATTTAGACCCTTAGCCCTTCGGCTGTCTGGCTCTGCCTGTAGAGTATTTGTGAGCCCCTTTATGTTATCTTGGGGTTTGTTTTGCCAACTCTGGTTGAGACATTTGAGTGGCAAAGTAGCAGGCCTCAGCAATCCTATCTCAGGGCAAAGGTGCAGTTGGTCAGCTACAGACATCTGGGCTGCCCTGCCAGAGAAGCAACAGCAAGCGCAGACATTTAGCTGTAGTGAGAGCAACACCTCCCTCTGCTGGGCAAGCTTTGGTGGCACTGCAGAGCCCAACCATGTCCTGTGCACTGTGCCTCATTATTCCTGGCTGGCAGATGTCCTGTTTGACCATGAATTTATCAGTCCACGTAGGTATCCCCATCTTAGTAGTATCTGCGCACCCTACACATTTTAATGGATATATCCCCATAACACTGCTGTGAGTGAGGCAGGGCAGTATTATTGTTCCCGTTTCGCAGAGAGGGAACCCAGGCACACAGAGATTACGGGGCTTGCCACAGGTCATACAGGCAGTCTCAGATGGGGCCGGGAATTGAACCCTCAGCCCCCATCCAGTGCCTTAACCACAAGATCATTCTTCTTCTCTGGAGATGAGACCGGGATCTTGGCACGGTTCCTAGTGGGGCAAGTGCCCACCTGGTTAAAGCCACCATCCCTCGTAGTACTACTGGGCCGTGTTATTGGTGGGATGGTCCCTGGAGACTGAACTCCTTGCTTTCTCCCCCCTCAGGTCATAACTCTAAGGAGACTTCCCGGGAGGAGTAGGGAACATGGAAGAACAAATGAACTGGGTGGTATAGCAGGGTGAGAGGAGAGGGGAAGAGTGACGGCTGGAGGGTCACTGAGAACAAGGGCACCTCCATCACTAACCATCCCTGCTTTTTGTTTCCTCTGACGTGCAAGTGTGTCCATGAGCCTCTGTTTTCCACAGGGTGGATTTGATTTAAATCACTAGTCAGGAAGACACGATTTAATCATGGATTTCTACATAAAAGTGCATTCTTGTTGGTTGTTATAACCTTAATACATATTCTTCATAACTCAGAGATGGATATAGGTTTCATTTTTAGAAGGTACACACTATACATTTTGAAACAGTGATTTATTTTGAAAACTTTTCAGATTAGTTTTACAGCAATATCAGAAAATGAATGTTTGTTGGTTATTTCGTTTACCAAAGGTAATTGAAGGAGATATTTATGAAGTCATTGGGAGGTCAACTATCTCCAATTCAACAGATTAATCATTAATATTTGGAGGATTTTCTTGCATTGCAGTATTAGGAGGAGAACATCATCAGACAGACATTTAAATTGTTTTATTTAACTAAAACAACAACGTTAAGTATTCTGGATTTTTTTCTTCAACAGCAAACATATAATATTTTAACAAAACAAGCGTCCCTCACTTCTCACATTTATCTCCAGACTTCTTCTCCTTGTCCAGATCTATTCCGCCCCCAACATTCTTCTATTCATTGAACTTTTTGAAACTTTGCACTTTTAGAGATCGGTAAGGGATTGACTCTTGTGTACACAAATTTGCAGAGGGACAATAGAGTTGAGGTCTGTTATTTCTCACCTCTATATATTATTTATTTATTTAAAAACATTTTTGCTGTTAACAAGCATGTTATCTCTGGAGACACAAATCCACAGTTTGAGAACTGCAAAACTACGCATCTCTGATGGTATCTTCTAGACCAGTGGTTCTTAATCTGGGGTGAACGCACCCCCTGAGGGTGCGAGATGCCCTGTCTGGGGATACGAAACATGCCAGATTTTTTTAGAAGGTAAATAATTGAAAACACAAATTAAGCACAGGCACATAAGTACAACTACTTTGTTTCATCAAACCTATGTATTTATTAACATTATACATTTTTTTAACGATTACTGTAATATACAAACAAAAAATATATATCTAGGTTTAAGGGGTGCGAGAACATATTTTGAGAACCAAAGGGGTGCAGGCTGCAGTAAAGGTTAAGAACCACTGTTCTAATCTGAGCACTGAGTCCCATTGGGTAGATAGAAAGATTAACCTAAATAATCTATACAGAAGCCTGTGGAACCCCATGAGATCGAGTCCCTAATCCATGAACTACTGGAACCATTTACAAAACTTTTCTTAAACATTACATGAATATATTGTCTCATACTATAGAATTAAAATTTATAATCCCTATTCCATGATGAGATCTCTTTGAGCTATAATATATCTTAATTAAAACTATCTTTAGATAGGTTTTTTCCTCAAAAAGCATTTTATCAAAAAAATCCGATTTAAATAAAAAAAATCCAATTTTTTTGATTTAAAAAAAAATAATTGATTTTTATCCACCCTGGTTTTCCAGTGGGCTTCGGTTTTAACTCCTGTCCTCCCTCTCTGGAACTCTCACAGGCCTTTGAGTTGGCAGAGCGGGAGCTGGGGATCCCCGCCCTGCTGGATCCCAACGACATGGTCTCCATGAGGGTCCCCGATTGCCTCAGCATCATGACCTACGTGTCTCAGTATTACAACCATTTCACCAACCCCAACCAAGGTGAGAGCTATGGCCTGTCCTTCCAGCTTCTGCCCTGACCCCCTCTGTGTTATATAAGGGAACTCAGCCATGCTTTTGCAATCTCTCACTGTGGCAGTGTCATCATCTGTCCCTCTCCACTCGGGTAGTGAGCTCATCACAGCTTCCTGTTTCCAACCCAGTGCTTCTTTTCTCCCTGTGGAATGTACAGCTTCAGGAAGTGACTGGGCTGTATGTGTGTGTGATTTGGCCTCCTTGAATTAGCAGAAAGTATTCTTGAGTTAATCTCCATTCTCATAGCCCAGCAACAGCTGGGAGGGCAAGTAGGTCTCATGGCCAGGAAGTTAGTGGGGAGAGAGCACCCAGATTTTCCCTTGTTTCCATCTTCCTTTGGGGATAGGCGTCGCAGCTGCAGGTGCTGTTGTACTTCAGGGTGCCCTGGATGGTACCTGGCTCTTACTGGTCCCACTTGAACAGTGGACAAAGGGTGTGGGGAACTGGAGTGATGAGAAGTTTAGTGCCAGCTGCCCAACAGAGCATCTTTCCTGTAAGGAGCTGGGCTTCCCACTCATCCTTCCCTGCTCTACTCCCCTGATCTAACCCCCCAGGTGCAGCCCATTACAGTTTATAGTAAACCTCCTCCTGTCTAATACGCACACCAGCCCTTCTCAAGACAGACCCTGTGTCCGATCTGAGGTCTCCATCCAGGGGTTAACAGACTACAGGTGCTCCCCTCCCTCCAGGTGTTAGTGAGTGTCAGCCCTGGCCGTGGTAGGGGTTTTGTCATATCCTGCGGTCTGCACTCAGGAGAGTGAGCCCCAAGGGGCTGTAATAATACTTAGCACTTAACCAGTGCTTTGCATGCTTTAAGCATTATCTAGCTGATCATCACAACACCCTGTGAGGTAGTTAAGTGGTGTTATCACCATTTTACAGATGGGGAAACTGAGGCACAGAGGAGGTGAGTGATTTGCCCAGGGCCACAGAAGGGAGTCGTTGTCAGAGCTGGGATTAGAATGCAGGGTTTCTTGATTGTCAGTCTTGTGGCTAACCCATTACCCCATGCCTCTCCCTCCTTCCTGGAATAGGTACTGAGGTGTAAAAAGTGGTCAAGTCCCATCCTGGGTCACAAGGCCAGGTGATTTTCCTACACCATGTGCTTTGCATGAATCATCCTCTTCTGTCAGTAGCTGATTCCCCTTTTGCTCTGTCTCTCTCTCTCTCTCTCTCTCTCTCTCTCCAGCCAGAGTCCCTCCACCCATGAGGCACCCGGCTGCTGCCTCGTCACCCCTTCTGCCAGCTCCCAAGAAGCTCATCCCTGCAGCGGATAGCACCACGGCACCACAGGTACCTCATCTATTGTAGCAAAGTTAACCCCATCTTTTAACTTTCTGTGCGCTGTGCTCATCACTGGAGCATCTGAGTGAACATCTGGCACAATGAGAGGAATCCAAACAGATGGTCTGTTGCATTCTCTGGGACATGAGTGTGGGTGTGTGTGTGTGGGTGTGTGTTTTGTAGTGTGCTTTGCTTTGTGGTGGGTTCCACTGGGAGAAGGGTCCAGCTTGAGGAATTCTCTCTCTCTAGAGGTCTTGGGTATTAAATGCTGCTCACCACCTGCTTCATTCGGTGAAGAGGGGGAAGAAAGTGCAGTGTGCAATGCAAGAGGGCTCTCTGAGAAGCCAAAGGTTCCTGGGTAACCCCAAGGCTCTCCCCTTTGGGTATGATGGAGTAAGGACACAGTCACTGGGATGGGTGTGGGCAGGGGATTCCCCTTCCCTTCCCAACCCTCTGCCTCAGGATTCAACAGCAGGCAGGGATCTCTCTTCCCTGGGATGGACCAGGGCTGTGACTGGAGCCCCTGGATTCGGTAGGGGTTAGAAATGTCCCTTTCACCTCTTCCCCTCCTGAATCGGGCAACGGTTAGAGGGGGATGAGGATGTCCGTTTTGTACTGGGACAGGGCTCAGGGAGCCTTCCTGAGGACTGGGCTGGGGGATTGGGACAGCCCTTTCTCCGGGACTGGCAGCCTGAATGTGGGGAGTGAAATAATTGCTATTTCTTTATATTGTCCTGTTCTTCTGAGTGGGGTTACACCCGAAGCTCAGTGCTGAGCAGATCTCTCTTCTTGTCGCCCGTGGCCCCAGTCAGGATCAGGACCCCATTGTGCTGGGTGCGGTACAGATGCTCAGTAAAAGACAGTCCCTGCCCCAAAGAGCTTCCATTTGAAATACGCTCTGTCTCGATTGCTGCCCCTCCAGTCTGTACTCTCCTTGTGTTCTGCCTCAGGATGATGTTGTCGAAGGCCTGGCGGAGCGGTCCCAGCGCAACACACTCAGCAGCACCTGCGCAGCCTGCCACCAGCACGTCCACCTGGTTCAGCGCTACCTGGCTGACGGCAAACTGTACCACCGCCAGTGCTTCAGGTAAACCATCCCCAGGCCCAGAGCAACCCCCACCCCACCCCCAACACTGCAGGGAAACTGTACCACTGGCAGTGCTTCAGGTAAGCCACCCTCAGGCCCAGAGCAACCCCCTATCTTCATCCCCCAACACAGGCAAACTCCCACCGCCGGTGCTTCAGGTAAACCACCCCCAGGCCCAGAGCAACCCCCCAGGCACACTGTACCACCGCCAGTGCTTCAGGTAAAACATCCCCAGGTCTGGAGCAACCCCCCACCTTCACCCCTCAACACAGGCAAACTGTACCACTGCCAGTGTTTCAGGTAAACCACCACCAGGCCCAGAGCAACCCCTCCCTACCTGAGTTGACCTGTAGCCACAGCCAAGTGTTACCACCAGATTAATGTGGTCTATGTGTTTGAGTGTGTCAGAACACTGACATTGAGGTGTTGGAACAGACCAATGGGCCAGTCCAGGAGTCTGTCTGCAACCATGACTAATGACAGGAGCTTTTAGAGGAAGGCAAAACAAACTCTAATACATGTCCCTGTGCAATACTGTATGATGGTAGAAAGAGGATTTCTACCGGTTGCTGTCTTATACCCTGAAGACTGAGGATTGAGACTTTGGTAACTTTACCCTACATGTTGTATCTCCAAATATGATCTTTAGCATCTTCTCATTCTTTATTGACTGTTTTGAGTGATTCACCTCAGTAATATCCTGCAGCAGTGAGTTCCATGGGTCAATTGAGGTAAAAATAGCCTCTTTTCTCCAGGTTCAAACTCGCTGCCTTTTAATTTCATTGCATCCCCCCTCAGCCTTGGGCTTATTTCTCTAGATTTCAGCATAAACGGTGGTAAACCAGATGCCACTACAAGAGCCCTGAGTGCCCTGGCACCTAATTAATCTTACAGCCACCAGCTGCATTGAAACAAACAGGAATCAAACAGCTCAGCTCTTGTGGGAGTGAGTGCTTGAGTGGGCTTCTGTGTGTGGCTCTCATTGTACATAGTAAGGACAGCCCTGCTCAGGCTGGTATAACTTCCTTATTACTGATTTGTATTACAGTAGTGCCGAGAGGACCCTGTTCAAACACGTAGTGAGACAGGCCCTGCCCTGAAGAGCTTATAGTCTAACTAGATATGGCAAAGGGTGAAAGAAAGGCCAGATTATTCTTCCCATTTTATAGACAAGGGACAGAAGCAAAGAGAGATTGAGTGATTTGCCCAGGGAGTCTGTGGCAGAGTTGGGAACTGAATCCCAGTCTCCCGAGTCCCAGTCTAGTGCACTAACCATACGGCCATCCTTCCTCCCTCAGCCTTGTAAATCTCCCCTCCTGTAGAAGGCCCTTTCCCCACCTTCTCAGGACGGTTTGTGTGTCTCGCTGGCAGGTGTAAGGAATGTTCCAGCACACTACTCCCTGGATCCTACAAGCCTGGGCCGGAGTCGGGCACTTTTGTGTGCACCCAGCACCGGGGCAAGCTGGGCCTGAGTGGGAGGACGGAGTGCAGGCCCAGCCCTGATTTGCAGCACCCGGGCAAGAGGACTGAGGCTGGAGCAGCCACTGTGGGTGAGGATGCCCCCCCCTCGGAGGAGGAGGAGGAGGAGGAGGAAGGGAAAGAGGACGGTGTCCAAACATCCCTGGTGATTGCATCAGAGAGCCACCCACCAGGAGAGAAGGAGGCAGGTGCAGCAGAGAAGGGTCGTGCACCCATTGGAGTGGAGACGGCAGTGTCCCCTGCCCGTGCAGAGAATGAAACACCCAGCTCTGAGCCCTGCTCCCAAACTCCACCCAGGCCTCCTCTCCCCAGCAAACCACCAGTGCCCAGCCAGGACAAAGCCAGCCCACTGGACGGACGGCTCAAGGACACTCGTCCCACCCCAGCCCCGAGGAGGGGCGCAGACGCAGCAGCCCCGTCACCACCAAGCTCTCACCCCGTCCCTCGGCCTAGATCCAACGTGCAGAGTGAGGCCTCTGAGCCAGGGCCTGGCCTGGTGAATGGTAAGAAGGTGCAAGGATGGCGTGTGGGGTGGTCCCCATTTCCCCATTGCAGTGCAGCTTACGCTCAGCAAAGCCTCTGTCCCTGCTGAGGCTCAAAGACGCCCTTCCCCAGCCCCTCTCAAACTGACACCCCCAGATCTCTGATCGAACCTTGGTCTTGATCGCTGAGCCTCAATCTGCCAGAAGGGGCAGAGTAGCGTGGATGGGTCTGGTGCCCTAGTGCTACGCTGTATTTGGGCTGACAGAGTGTCTCGATGGCGCGCAACACCGTCCCCAGCACTACTCCACAGCTTGCAGGAGGCGGGAGTGAGGGCAGCTGCAGGGGGTGAGTTTTGGTTAACAAGGTCACCCAGGCTGGAATCTGGCCTGCCGTGCTGGGGCTGACACCCCTACGCCAAGGGGGAAAATGCTGTGGGATCTGCAGAGAGCAGGAGCAGCCAGAAGACAATAGGAAATCCATCGAGCTTTTCATCTGCTTCCTAATGGCCTTTTGCTTTTCTTACCGTGTATCTTTCCAATTGCCTGTCTAGGTAGGGTACCTGAACCCGGCCCCCCAGTCCCCAAACCGAGAGGGAGACCCACCTCCTCAGATCGGTAGGTCCTTTGGCTTGCCCCGAAACCATATAGACCAGGAAGCATTGTGCGTGTGGTTAACTCATGAACTCTCCTTCCAGCCCCACCCCTCCCTGGCTGATCAGCTGGCAGTGGAGAGGGAGGGCCTTGTGGCTAAGGCCTGGGGAGACCCCAGTTCTGTTCCAGGCTGGAACTCAATGCGGGGCTAGAGCAATGCTTCCCAGACATTTTACTGAGCCCACCCACCAATTCCATTTGGTCTTTTTTGCAACCCACCCATTGGTGGGAGGGCCAAAATCATAGACCAGTGTCCTTTGCCTTTTCCTCGCCCTGCTGAGGGGGCACCACCTACCCTCAGCAGCTCCATCTGCCCTGGCACCATGACCCTAATCCCAGCCTGTGCGGAGGGGAGGCCTTGGCTGGAGAACGTCCCATCCCTCACTTACTCTGCAGTGGTGGCTCCTGTCCCGTGGGGCTGGACCCAGCTCCCAACCCCAGGCATTGCAATTGGGCTCGGGGTTGCAGTCCACTGTGTCCTGACAGACGGGCAGCTGGGCCAAACCTGAGTGGTGCTGAGACCCCATGCGGGTTGCCACGCCTGGAGCGGGGAGCTGGCCCCAGCCCTGTAGGACAGAACCTGCTGCTGCGGGATGAATGCAAGGTGGCTTTGTCCTCCAGACTCCCTCTTGGGGCCTCCCCTCTGCACGGGGCCCACAACCCACGTTGAACCTTCCTGCAATCCACTGTTTGGAAACCACTGGCTTAGAGCAAGTCCCTTCTCTCCTTGTGCCAGCCTTTCCCCATCTGTACCTGAGGGGGGATAATGCAGTGTCTGCCATTCAGGAAGACTTGTAAAGCGCTTGGAGATCTTCATGTGAAAGGGGCTATGGAAAGGCAAAGAACACATTTAGTACTCATATCTCAATGTCTATACTTTGACCCGTTAACCTTTTATCCCCAATCGGGGATATTGCAGATTATGTATTCCTTACACCATCTGATCTTAAATCGAACTTCGCATCCCTTGATAGTCTGTATGTTATTCCCTGATAACCATAAACTTCTACGCTTAAACTCTGCACCGTTCACTTTTTTAAACATCGTCTTAATAAAATTTTTTAAATTGGATTGATGTATTCAGGATTCCAAGCCACCCTGAATTGGCAAAACCGAACAGCTGGGGAAGAGGAAATGCTTGGCTGCCTGGGGGAATGTTCCACATTCCTGGGCGGGATTTCTGTTGTGTGTGTCTGGCTGTAATGGTGATACTTTGCACCTATACAATGCTTTTCGTCCAAAGATCTCCAAGCACTTTGCAAAGGGTGGTCTGTATCATTGTCCCCATTTCAGAGAGAGAAAAACTGAGGCATGTAACGAGCAAAAGCACCTCACCTGTCTCAGTGAGCAATGGGGCAATTGGGCACCTGAGATATTTTCTTGCATTGATTATTGGGTGAAAACTGATCCAGTGAACTGCCCCCACTGCATCTCCCTCCCCAATTCATTGTGTAAAGAGAAGTGACTTGTGCTGGGGGAGGGGCAATTCTCCAGCTCAGCCAGGGTGCTCGAAGTTCCCAATAAACAGCCCAGCTGGCTGGAGCCATTTGCTTAGGATCTCCTCAGCCCCCCAGCCATTAGCAGCATGTCCGCTAAGCGTGGGAGATAGTTTAATCTTTCCTGCTGTGGTGCGACATGGGGGATGGGAGAGAGGCCACGTTTCCTGGGAATGGCCAATTAACATAGTTTGCCAGACAGTGAAATCAGGGCACAGATCTCTGGTTCCCAGCCTTGTTAGTGAGGCTGGAAGGTTTGTGCTCCCCCAGCCTGTGAACCCGCATGCCCAGTCAGACCCTCAACCTGTCCCTGGGGGTGAATGCTCTGCAGAGAGAAGGCAGGGGCAGCCCTAGCCTGACATTTTCCCCCTTATGGGCAATGTTCTACCTGGTTTGTCATGAATTCTCTCTTCCATGCGTCCTCCTCATCCCCTCTCCCTCTCTGACCCCGCTCTTCTCTTCAACTAGAGCGGGAGCTGCTGTTAGACCAAAGGACCCTCCGTGGATTGCGTTGGTTCAGCCAGAGCCCAAGAGGAAGCCGGCTCCTCCCCCGCCAGGCAGTGGCCAGGAGACTCCCACGAGGGCTTCAGAGGAAGAGGAGGAGCAGGGGAAAGGGAGGGAAAGGGAGAGCAGATCTGCCAGCAGGGAGCCCAAAGCCTACAACCCCTTTGAGGAGGAGGAGGAGGAGGAGGAGGAGGAAGGTGCAACACCAAAGAGCACGCCAAAGCAGGACCAGAGTGAGAGCATGACAAAACCCACTCATCCCTGGTACCGCATCACCCCTACTAGCAGCCCCAAGACAAAGAAACGTCCGGCTCCGCGAGCACCCAGCTCCTCCCCCCTAGGTGAGTCCCTCCCACACCCTTCTGTACCCAGCCATCCTACCCAGAACTCCCGCCTCTGTCGCCCTTGGACACCAGGGATAGGCAGCCCCGACGCTTTCACTTCTCCAGCAGGCAGAGCAAGTCCTAATGTCTACGCCAGCTGGGCTGGGCTCTGTGCTACCAAATCCTGCTTCCCATCCAGCCTCACAGGGTGGGTGTCCGAGAGATCTCGCTCCTGAAGGTGCCTCCGGCAGTCTCCATCTGTGGCTGGTATGTGTGTGTGGGGGTATTTGTTACTTCCCGTTCCCCTCTGACCTCTCTCTTTCCTTTGTAGTTCACCACCCCATCTCCAGGCTCTCGCACTCAGAGCCATCCTCCTCCACCCCATCACCTGCCCTCAGCCTTGAGAGCATCAACTCCGAGTGTTCAGCCAAGGCCCCTGGTGACCCAGATGAGGCGTCAGTGCCCAAGAGCTCCTCCGAACCCACAGTCCATGCGCCAGTTGCTTCCAAGATCTCCTGTGCAGACACTCCGCTCACCAGTGTCTCCTCCAGTGAGAGCCCTGCAGCCCCAGCCAGCCTGTCCGCCAACTCCTCCTTCTCTTCCTCCAGTGAGCTGGCCAGCTCCAGTGGGGAGGCGCAGGGGGGAGCTCAACAGACCAGCAAGAGCTTTTCTGCCAGCAATTTAAAGACCAGCCCCAGCCAACTGCCCCCCAAGCCTCCTGCCAGTGCTAGTCCCACACCCATCCTGTTGGCCTCAGACACGGGTGAAGGAGGCCCCAAGAATTCCCCATCGCCCAAGCCGCAGCTGAAGGTAGGCTGGTGCATTTCTCCTAACCCCTCCCTTTCTCCCACCCTCCCCGACCCTCATCACAACAATCATCTTGTCCTCCAAAGAGGCCCGGAGGAGATGCCCTTCAGTGCCCTTTGGGAGGGGAAACCCACCCCTACCAATAGGCCTCTGGCCTTGAGCTGTTCGCTGTTTTTCCACCTCTCCACCTGGAGACATCTCCACACCGGAGCTGAGGGTCAGGCTACCAGTCTCCAACACTCTGCTATCATATGGTGATGTCTTCACCCCAAAGCAGCTCCGGTGCCACCAAGTGGTGAGACTCTGTACTGTGGCTTTCAGTAGTAACATGCTGCTCTCGACCCATTTGTGCAACATTGTTGGCAGGGCTGGCTCCAGCTTTTTTATAAAGCCGATCGGCGGCACTTCGGCAGCAGCTCAATCGTGCTGCTTCATTCTTCTGCGGCAATTCGGCGGTGGTTCCTTCGCTCCCTCTCTTCCTCTTCGGCGGCACTTCAGCGGCAGCTCAAAGAGGAAGAGAGGGACTGAGGGACCCGCCGCCGAAGACCCGGATGTGCCGCCCCTTTCCATTGGCTGCCTCAAGCACCTATTTCCTTCGCTGGTGCCTGGAGCCGGCCCTGTTTGTTGGCACAAAATGTGACCACCAAGAGCCGGTCAGGCAGAGCCAGAGCTAAGATTCTTTCAGTCTGGTGGGATAAGCGCTAGTTAAATGGTAATCGTGCTCTTATTCACCCTGCCTCAGAGTACAAATCAAAACAAATGAAAACGCTGCTCAAAGCAAAATAGCTTTCCATGCTGTTTATGATTAAGCTGTGGAACTCACTGCCACATGACATTACTGAGGCAAATAACTTAGTGTGATCAAAAAAAGGATTAAATATTGATACAGATAAGAATAGTATCTGCAGTGACACTGGCTAGGATAAACTAACCAGGGCTATAAATCCTTATGCCTCAGGGGACATGCTAATCACTGGCTAAAGTCAGGAAGATGCACTTCCCATAGTGCAGTGAGGTGCATTCTAGGGGTTTATACTTCCCTTGGAAACATTCAAGGCTGTCTGCTGTCATAGGCAGGATACCAGAGTATCCAAAGGGCTGTCTACATTCATGAATTTTGTAGCTACAGTTCCCCACCAATGCAACTCCAGCAGTGGAAGCAATAGTAGAAACTATGGTGTAGACAGGACTTGGGTTCTTTTAGCACTCTGGTACCAAACCATGCTCTGGAGCTGCACTGGTGGGGAATTACACCTGCAAAGTTTGCTCCTGTAGACAAGGGCTGATGGACCAGCTGTCTACTCCGCCATGGCAGAAGCAGGGATAGTGGCTTAGGTGGACCGTTACTCTGCTCCAATATGGCAGTTCCTGTGAGAGGGTGTTTGCTCAGTGTTCACACCCTGCCTGGGATCTGCTTTCTTGCTCTCTCCTGAGCACCGAATCATCTCCTTGTTTTTTTCCCCCCAGTCTTCATGCAAAGAGAATCCTTTCAACCGGAAGTCATCACCTGTCACCTCCCCCTCGGCCCAGAAACCCCCCAAAGGATCCAAGCCAGCGCGCCCTCCTGCACCAGGACATGGCTTCCCGCTGATCAAACGCAAGGTAAAGGGGACAGAGGAGCACAGGGGCAAATGTTACCTCCGCACTGTCGGCTGGGACTACAGCTCTGCTTGCTGAACCCCCATTTCCTTTCCTAGCTTCCAGTGGCGGGAGGCATGTGTGGCTGGCTGTTGAGGGATCTGGAGGATGGGTGGAGAGCCTTCTTGTGCGCGCGCACACTCCCTAGAAGGCTCCTCAGAGGGGTGTACATTGACTTGCGTCACTAGTGGCTCCCTTTGGGAGCTGCAGGTTGGCCAGACTGCCTAGAACCAGCCACCCGGGGCCTTACTTTGGCTCCCACTCTCTTCTCCCCACCGCTTGGGGGAATAAAATGGTCTCTCCAGTCTCTGCCCCTAGGCGTGTTCTGATTCACCGTATGGCACAGCAGTTGCCAGACCTCAGGAGGGAGTTGTCTGAGTAAGAGGGGTGTGCTGAACGAGGGGGGCAAAAGGTATCCACACCGCTCTCCCAAGATAACTGGGGGCCAGTTTGAGCTGTCGATGGAGGGAGATTTTAATGCATGTGCTGCAAGTGCATCTTCCTCCAGCAGTGCCATTAGTCTGCGTGTGATGGAGCAGGGTGGTTTCCCCCAGGAGATGTTTGATTTCTTCTGATGCTGTGTTAGTCCTGTGGGAGGGAGTTGGTCACTCCCATTGCTCTCCCTCCTCCACAGAAGAGTGTTAGTCTCCCCTGCTGTTTCCACTGCCTGCCAGGGAGTGCATTGGGGTCCCCAGGCAGGATGCTGGAGCAGATGGGTCAAGGGCTGCCCAGGGAAAGCGGCTGCCCATAGCAATGGGTGTTCCTGCTTGTGTGGTTTGGTAGGTCCAGGCGGATCAGTACGTCCCAGTGGAGGATATTTACGGAGAGATGGACACCATTGAGCAGCGGCTGGACGAGCTGGAGCACCGAGGGGTGGAACTGGAGGAGAAACTCCGCAGTGTCGAGAATGGTAATGTGGATTGTACCAACCGTGGGGGTTGGGTGGGGACAGGGGGAGGGGAAGAGAAGATGTGTCTTAGAGGATAGGGAATTTTAAGATGTAAGGGCTGTACCACCCCTATAATGGGGGGAAATGAGGAAGGAGAAGTTGTGATAATATGCTCTCTGTTTAAGGTTAGGGTGATGAAGGATCAAGGGAGTTGAGTGGGGGAAGGGTGGGGCCATGCTAACTGGCTTGGGCTATGAGGAAAATGGATCAGAACCATCACTTCTCCATGGGAGGCTGAGAACTGTTTAATTCACTCCACTTCCCATGTGTTCAGGAGCTGGATGAGGTCAGGTTGATAAGTGAATCTCTCCCTCCCCAGCGTGGCAGAGCCTGCCTTGGCCTGCTGCGTTCTGTGGGCAGAAAGCCCTGAGGAATGTCTCTGAGTTCTCTCTCTGCCTGGTTTGACTGGTAGATAGCCCCGAGGACAGCCTGCTGGTGGACTGGTTCAAGCTCATCCACGAGAAGCACATGCTGGTGCGCCGTGAGTCTGAGCTCATCTACATGTGAGTAGGGGGAACGCACTGATGCTGCCTCCAAAACTGGAGAGGACAGAAGAGTCTCCCTATTCCCACCTGAGACGCTTTACCAGAAGGCCCTGGTAGGCTTCCTAGTCAAGGGGTGGGGCTAGAGATCTATGAAGACATTGACTCTGTGTCCAAGTGTACTTGGAACTACTCAGAGACTGGAGCTACAAGAGCTGTGGGCTTCCCCATAGCCAGCGCTCCTGCAGTGTTCCCCATGGCACTTCCTTCTGTAAGAGGCTGTGAGCACCCTGTAGCCACCACTCCTACATCAGTCTTTACTGGATGAGGCTGGGGCTAGCATCGCTGGGAGTACAGCCAAGGCTCCTGCCCTTTCACTACAAGTCTCCTGGTGGGTAAGGCTAAGGTCACAGTTGTTACTTTCAAATCTGACCCCATGGAGATGGCTTCCCAGAGAGGACATCTGCTTTCTGGAGGGATCTCTCTGAGCCTTGCAATGGGTTTTTGATGGTGTTTCTCTTTCTTTGCAGTTTTAAGCAGCAGAACTTGGAGCAGCGTCAGGCTGATGTAGAGTACGAACTGCGGTGCCTTCTCAATAAGCCGGGTAAATCTCTTAGTACTGGTGAAATACCACCCTGAGCAGGTTCTCTGTCCCTGCAATGCCCATTATACCTTCAGTCATGGCTAGTCCCTGGGTAAAAGGGACCAAATGGGACTTGCCTTTGATGGATATTAATACTCCTCCTTAACTGGCTGCAGGGTGGCTGTTGAGTAACATGAGACAGTCCCTCCCCAGCATCAATTCCTGGGCATGCTGTCTAGACTGTATTCCCAGTCCCCGCATTGAGAGGCCATCATTCTAACCTAGTGTAGAGGTCCAAAGAGTCATCTGCTAGGCTCAAGACAGGAATCAAACCCAGGTCTCTCGTATGGCACTTTGGAGCCCTGAACTCCTTTTCCAAGGGAAACTTAGTCATTTAACTCCCTGTCTTTTCTGGGGTGGATAGCTAAGGACTGGACGGATGACGACCGAGAGAGGGAGACGGTGCTGATGCAGGAGCTGGTCACCATTATTGAACAACGTAATGCCATTGTCAACTGCCTGGATGAGGACCGGCAAAGGTAACACGGCGGAAAGGGGGAGATCTGTCCGAAACCCAGCTGCCTTTACAACCCTGTCTGAGTGACACAGTGGAAACGGTGGTGCAGCCCACCTGTATGGGGTGAACTTGTACTGTGAAGTGCAACACCACGATGCCACTGTTACTGACTGACCTTCCCGAGGGTCCCCCAATCCTTGTTCCTGTGAATCAATGCTAATGACTTGTGGGGATGGTGTGTGTCTGTATCTCTGGATGATGTCTGTCCTGGTATGTGTGTATATGGGGAATATGTCATAACTGTAGCAAGGGATTATGGGATACCAATGACCATACCAGTCATGAGCAGTGGGGAGCTCTTCTCTTCCAACAATGTTGTGGCTGTTGTCCTCAGAGTGGAATCTCTCAACAGTTTCCCACTGTTTCTTTCAGAGAGGAAGAGGAGGATAAATTGTTGGAAGCCATGATTAAAAAGAAAGGTAAGAAAGTGAATGGGAGCCACATTCCAATACTGGAGGACTTCAGAGTCCTGGCTGCTCTCTCACGCTCCCGAGGAGAGGGCAGAAGAATAAAGGGCATTAGTATAAATGCACATGAACATGTGTATGTGTTTAGGGATTTATTCTATTATATGTAGGTTCTTATATCACACCCACCACCTCTGAGCATCTTCCACAAATGCATTATGCAATCTAACCCCCGTCACCTTTCTCCTCTCCTCCTGTTCCCAGAGGGAGAAGTGTGTTAGAATGTATAGGTAATATACACACACGTTGCTATGTGTTTATGTTAGAGAAGGCAAAGTCAAAGAAATGTGCTTTGCACTTGGAGCAGAAGGTGGTGAGGTTTGTGTTGGTCCTTAATTCCTGTGGGAGTTCATTCCACAGCCTGGGAACAGCTCCTGAGAAAGCTCTGTCTCCTGTGTCTAATCTCAGTGACCTGCAGTGAAAGTGTAAGTGTGTGTGTGTCTCCCTCTCTAATCTCAGTGACCTGCACTGAATGTGTGTGTGTTTTCATTCAGGCACTGGTGGCTCACACAGATGTATGCATCAAGTAGTTTAGCCCTAGTCTGCATACATCACACAGGTGGAGGCATGTGTCTATTGAGGGTATAGGCACCAGTATGCATGCATCACTCCTGGGCTCTGTCCTTTAGAAAATAACCTCTCCTTGCAACTCTTCTGCAGAATTTCACAAGGAGTCTGAGGGCAAGAAGAAAGGAAAGTTCAAGCCCATGAAGGTGCTGAAGCTGCTTGGCAATAAACATGAATCAAAGAGCAAGTCACCCAAGGAGAAAAGCTAGAGCAGGAGAAAGCCAGAAGCAAGGATGGATGCACTGCTGTCTGACTGCATCAGCCCTCCCTGTGGCTGGCTGGATACCTGCCACTGGGGCTTCTGCCTCCCACTCCCCTCCAGAAGCTGTCTCTCCCCTCTCGTCAACCCCCACATGCCAACGCTGATTTCTCCCAGGGAAACTTAGCTTTCAGCCACAGACATGGAGTTGCCCAAAAAAGAGGAGACATGGCGAGTCTGATCAACAATATTCCCCCTTCCTAAGGCTGTGGGGAGCCTGATTAGAGGAGAAAAGATACTATCCACAAGCTTTGGGGAGTGGGGAGGAGGTGAAATAGCTTTAGGAGATATTACCCAGTTGTGTGTTTATTATTATTATTAACTGTCTGAGCGGTAAGTAAAGGATTTTGGTATTTGTGGGAAACTTGCACTAATTGCCCCGTCCCTCACTCTAACTGTGATAGTCACATGTGCCTCATACCCTCTGCCTTGGGGGACTGTACACAGTTGTCCCTCCCCAACCTCCAATTCGTTCCCTGGTATTCTGAATTCCCACTCTTAACTTTGGTAAAAGACTCTGGGGCTTATAAACAGGATTATTTTATTGGCACTAAATTCACATTGAAATATTAAACAAAAAGGAAAGAAACCCTAAAAACTTTCCATGCCTCAAGTTCCTAAAAAAAAAAAAAAAAAAAAAAAGTAACCACTGTCCTGTTTGTGGAGAGATTCCCCTCCCCCTGATGACACGCACCCCACGAGCTTCAGGGCTGGGCAGGATCAATGACAGGGCCAGGCAGAACGGCTAAGGAAAAGGGATTATGGGGAGTCCAATTGGACATGTCCAAGATACCCCACCCAGGACATTTAACCCTCGCTGCAGCTGCTAAATAGACCCACTCTTATGCTTTTTGGGGCGGGGACAGGGACAGGGAGGGAGGAACAGAACAGGGAGGAAAAGAATGCAAGACTTTATTCAGTGCCAGCAAGGTTGTCCTGTTGCCTTGCTCGCTAGTGCTGCCCTCTGCCAGCTTGGGGAGTGGGGAGGGAATCTCAGCTGGTTCTTCTCCAGCTTTGTCTGTATTTATATTTTTAAAAGTGCAAAAGGGGGGATTTGGGTTTTTTTTTTTTTTTTTTTAGCTTCGTTACTAGATGGATTCAACCCCACCCAGCTTTTTAAACCCTTGTTTTATTTGTTGTGTGTGCGCGTTGGGGGATGGGGAGAGCAGTCTTCCCTCCTTCCTTCCTTTTTTCTGCCTTCTCCAAGGCGAGGAGCTATTTATTGAGCCGTTTGATTGGTCTGAGTTAGACACTGAGTTTTGTGGGTGTTGGTTGGTCAGCTGTTGTCTTGCCTTGTTAGCAGAGTAACTACCAGCCCAGAGCAAACTGCTGCATTCCCTTATAAAAATACTACAGGTTTGATCCAAACCACTCTTGCTTCCAGCAGTGTCTTGGACACTTGCTGGAGTATATTTCTATACAGGGATCCCTGTTTACAAAACCATTGAGGGAGCTGAGTTTATCATCTTGGTCCCAAGGGCCACCAGTACTGGTTGGGGCAGCATACTCAGCCCCTAGGAATGGAGGGCCCCATCATACTCTTGCAACCCCAAACTGGCTGCTCCAGGAGCAGTGGCCACCTTTTTATGATCATCTCTTGGCCGGGGAGATCCCAAAGCACAACTTACCCTCTCCAAAGCAAAGAAGTCAATTTGGCCTTGTAGCGTGCAGCTGAGCCACTGTCAAAGGCCATTAGAATTGCTGCAGTCTGACACCCCCAGTCCTACTCCCGTCAGTATTTTGATTTGTAAACTGTTACACTGTACTAACTCTGGGATTGCCAGTCATTGCAGAAAAATAAAACCAGTGGAGTTAAAAAACTACTGCCACCCTGTGTTGTTTATCCTTACCTGTGCTTGGCTCACCTTAGGTACCTGGCTAGCTCAGTTGGTAGCACATGCACCTCTTAATCTCAAGGTTATGGGTTTGAGCCCAATGTTGGGTACTTGCCTGGCTTGTGGAGGTTTGGTGGAGTTCTGCTGACAAATAGTTCAACCTCTGAACCTAAGAAAAGGATGAGATTGGGGATTCCAGCAGCCTCTTGGTTCAATACAAAGGTAACTGGTTGAAATTCTTTAGCTTGTGTTATGGAGGTCAGACTAGTAATGATCCCTTCTGGCTTTAAAATCTATGAATATCTTGGCCCCTCTGCCTTTGGCCATGTCAGTCCTTGTCAAGATGCTCCCAGGGAACAGAAAACAAATGATCAGGGAACAGACTCTCCTGCGCTGTGAACCCCAAAGTGAATTCTTCCCCTGGCCCAACCCACTGTAGCCATGTTTCTAAGCCTGCATGTTTTAGTGCATGAGCAAGAGACAAGTTCCTAAACACACCCCCACAAATTCTCACCAAGATGCAATCACATTAAAATCAAGGCTAATATTTATGTAAGGCAGTGTGGTTGCTCCTCCCTCACCTGCTCTGCAGCAGCAGCTGACAGTTTCCAGGGCTGTGCTGACATGAGTGATGATATGGATTTAGTGATAAGGAAGTAAACACATTAATTTTCAGCTTCCACCAGAAACAACCAGAATCCCCAGAGTTTGGGCCATATGGAAAAGGGACAGAGATTTTCCTTCCGGGTGTCTGTTGTGCAGGTGAGCTTTGTTCTGACACCTTAAGGCTTGTGCCATAGGTGGAAAGAGACCTTGCTTTACCATGTTTCAGAGGCGACTGGAGCATGCTGAGGTCTTTTCATCTCCTCCTAGTCCCTCCAGAGGAGGGAACCAGTCTAATTCCCTGATTTGGTTCACCCAACCATCAAGTTCACGTAGCCATGAAACAGCTGCCTGAAGGGAGACTAATCAGTGTTGGTAGGATTTTGCAAAGACTTTCTCCTGTTTTGTACTATGCATAAATAGTTACTGCCCTCTTGGGTTTATGCCACAGGTGCTACTGACATTCCTCCAAGAGGATCTGCCTTAGATGGATAGGCGTAGACCAGTTCTGTGACCATTCTAGGGAGGAGGCCCAGCCCTGTTGGAAGGACAAGGAAAGAAGGGGTGGGAATGGTCTGCTCTGGTGTCTGGTTTTGGTCTAGCTATTGGGATCCGATTTGTTCCCCACAGGGAAGATTTTTGCCATTGCCTCTCTTACGTCCTTACTCCTCTTCTTATCGATGATCTCCATCTCCCGCAGTTTCTGCAAAGAGCAGAACAAAAAGGATGAATTGGTGAGAATGCCAGAAACTCCTATTTCCTGCCAAACCTGAGAAGAAAGGATCCTCTTCCCCAGTGAAATTACATACCGAAATGACAGAGGGGCTGGAGGCCTCTCTCCCGCCCCAACCTCCTAAATTCATCCCTCTTTTTCTACCTCATCGCCTGAGAGAAAATGCTGGGCTCTCCTCCTTCCAAATCTAGGCCACATCTAGTTATTGGATAGAAACCCTAGAACTCAGATGCTCCAACACCAAGGTTCCCTCAATCCAACATGCTGCAGAGGCCAGAGGGGTTCCCAAGGTACCTGTGAGATTTCAGTGAGGACAATCCCTCGATACTGCTTGCTCTGGCCCAGAGCCTCCATCTCTGCCAGGAATTCCTTCCGCTCCTGAATTTCATTCATCACTGAGCACAAGAGAAAGAGACATGCACAGAACCAGTCAAAGTGGGGACACACCAGCATTGCCTGAACTCTGACCTCCCCACTTCCCAGCCCTGTTAGAATGGAGGGGGGGCGTAATATCTAGAATGACTCTGACTTTGCCCTCATCACCACAGTATCTTAGCATCCCCTGCATTTAAGGATAGAAATAGCCATCTCTTTATTTCTCTCTCTTCCCAGCCTATAGGAAATACAGCTTGATTTGGGGCCGGGGAGTGTTTTTAAAAGCTTATTCAGTGCAGTGGGATGTTGGGAATCACCCCCATAGGATTCTACACGCCAAAGCTGAGCAGTGGTCCAGCTAAGGCCCAGTCTACATTAAAAGTTTTGTCAACTTTATTGGTTCAGAGTGTGAAAAACATCACACCCCAAACTGACATAGCTATGTCAGCAAAAATCCTACTGTAGGTGCAGTTATACTAGCAAAAAAATGTTTTTGCCAGTGTAGCTAATTTTATTTGGGGGAAGTGGTATAAACTATACTGCCAAAAGCACTTTTCTGCTGGTATGAGCTGCATCTCCACTAGAAGGGTTTGCCCATATAGCTATGGTACCGTACTACTAGTATAGCTATATCAGCAAACCTTTCTAGTCTAGATAAAGTCTAATCCAGCATCCCACCTGCCACAACAAATCACAGCTCACTAATGCATAAAGCCCACCACCCTGCCTTTTGTAAGGGGCCTGTATCTAAGGCCTTCCTTTGAGCCTTGGCCTATTTCCATACGTACGTTCTTCAAACCGGTCAGGTTCAGGTATTTCCTCTTCCTCTGTCCGCACTGGCTTCTGCTGTGGCTTCTGTTCCACCATGTCCTTTCCAGTCGCTAAGATATTTTGGAGCCTTTGCTTCTCCCTCTCTAAGTCACCTGTGGAAGATAAAGAAAACAAATCTTTGTCAGACTGAGGCAGAAGTACAGTCTCCCCACCAAGGCCCTGCTGGCAGCTGTGCCTGGACACACACAGCTGGAGATTCTATATAAGTAATTGGACAGGAAATATCTATTATGGTACATCCCATTCGCATCCTATATACAGCACAGGCACTACACGTACTGTACTGACAGCAAAAGTCCCAGCTACATTTACATCAGTGGTCTGATACTAGTCTATGAGCCATAAAATTATGTGAGAATTGCCTTGTCACAATAAGGTAAAGTGAAATCCTGTTCTGTTAATGAGCCAGCCAGCCAGCAGGCAGGGTTGGGATGTGATCATCAGTGAAGGGAGGCGCTGTCAAGAGTCCCCTCACAGCTCTGGCTTTTGTGCACTTGCCAGTGGATTAGAGAGAAGGAAGGAGGAGGCTGGAAAGCAAATAAGAGAGAGTTCTGGAGACTGGAGGAAAATGGGAGGAAAGGAAAGAGAGGAGGCAAAACTGATCCCTTAGCAGAATTTGCTCACTTACGAGTGGCCCGGGGTTTGAATTTCTCTCGGGTGTAGGCATCGCCTGCCCGGCAGATCTCGGCAGGTCGGAGATGAGGTCTGGCCAACAGAGTGACTGAAAGACAAGGCTTTGGTGGAGAGGATGCAGGCTGCGCAAGCTGTGGTTCTTTGCTGGATGTTGGGTTGCAGAGAGTGGGCAGGGAAACACCTCCTAGGGAAGACAATGGCAGGTTAGGAACAGCCAAGTCTGTGGCTTGGTGATTTCCCTGGACCACATAATGCAGTTCCAGTATTAGTCTCATTCCCTGGACCAGTTACATGGGGAAATCCCATCCAGTCCTTATAAAGAATATTAATAGCTACCAAATTTAGCCTTAAATGGTGGAGATTGGATGCAGGGTTCAAGAGATACTGTTGTATGATGAAAGAGATGAGAACAGCAGCAGTGGACCAAATGCTGAGGAGAAAGAAATACTCCCTCCCCAATTTCTTCCCAATCCTCCAGTCTATAGGCAAATACCCTCTGTAGAAAGAATGATCTATGTATCTGGGCCACATGAATGCTTCACCACAGCAGCTGTAAGGTGTACACAGGGGTTAGGAGCAGAAGATCAATAAGCAGCAACCTGCACAAGGCAGAGTGCATGTGTGGGGGTTGGGGGTGGACAAAGCTGAGGCATCACTCACGTTTCATGCAGTCCATGAGGTGGCGTTGCTGGAAATTGGTAAGTTTGGATTCCTCCATCATCACTGAAAGGCAAAAACCATCAGTAAAGACCCCAGCCTGAGAACTCAGCAGAAACAGCCTGAGGAACTACATGTCCACTTCAGGCAACCAGAACAAAAGAAGGGAAGGGCTTTGGAGGAAACTCCATATTTGTAATCGAGATCCTTTGGGAAAAGACCCAAGTGATTCATGATTCCTGAGGGATTTAGGCTGAGAATTTCAAAGGTGGGTGCCTAAAGTTAGGTTACTAACTCCATGTTTACACACCTAAATAAGTGGCCTAATTTACAAAAGTATTGGCATTCTCCTTCATACAAAAGGAAACACCAGCTTTAAAAATGGTACGTAAGGGCTGTGGTGGAGGTAAAACTGTTCTCCCAAATTTGAAAGCAAATGAGAACAGCATTTGCAGTAAGAGTAGCAAGGGAACTAGTTATAAGAGCTATCGAGCCTAATCCTTTAGCTGATCACCAATTGGGGGATCAGGATGGCATTACCCACATGGCGTAGTAATGTGGAATTAGTACAACAAAGGGGTTTTATGTCTTCAACTTTGGCAACGGTTGGAGAAGGGTGACAGAACGAGGTTATTATTTAGTATGTTGTAGAACCCAGAAGTGTGCTTGGCAATAGGTGTTGTGTAAAAATCTAGAGAGACTGACAGGTAGATTGGATTAGACAGGCACTTTACAGGAAATACATAGAAGACAGGTTCCTGCCCTGAAAAGCTTATACACTAAAAGATGGATTTGAGATGTGAGAATATAACAGAAAGCAGGAAAGGGAGGGGTGAGGAATGGCATGGGTTACGGTGATACAATGATGGCTTTAGTCAGTTTAGGCAGATATACAGTTTAGGGGTTCAAAGTGTGTATGTGGGGGAGAGGGGGCTGCAGAAGGGGTCTTTAGGAGTTATTTGAATAAGGTGAGGAAGGAGGATGAGAGAATGGATTTAGGAAGAGCATTCCAAGCATCAGAAGCAACATGGACTACTAATGTTCTTTCTATTCTATGTAGGTTCTTTTACCATCCTAATCACTGTGGTACCTGGGCACCTTCCAGTAGTGCATTAAGCGAGGTGACTAACATCTATTAGATGTGCTTCATTCTCTCTTTCATCTTCTCCACGGGGAGAATTGTGTGAGTGTTTTGGTTTGGTTTTTTAAAATGTCCATACTGCTATTATACAATGATCCAGTGAAGCCAGAAGCATGACATGAGTTTAAGGGGGTCAATGGCCTTTTCACTGTTCTCCATTCAATCTTCCTGCTACCTTTCAGCAGCTCTTTTGTTTCTTTGCCATAATGAGTTGTCCCTGGAGAATGCCAGAAACCGGTTCCTTTTGGGACAGCTGGCGCTGCTCTTCTTCCGTCCTGGGAAGACATTGTGAAACCCTGAAAATGACAGTGAGGCAAGGAGTCAGTAAATCATATTCAACTTCTAATGGTTCAACTCAAAAGAACATTCTCTCTTCACTACCCTCAGTCATTCTAGGATCCCATTACACAGTCTCTACTACCTCAAAATCAACCTTAATACTTATTTAAATATAGCTAATCCATTGAAATCTTGACCCTTGAAGAGTTACTGTAGTGTTTGAGGGACTGGCTGGAATCTCCCATGCCCTTTTTTATTCTCCCCTCTGTTGCAGTCACAAACCTGCTTCCAACTGAGAAAGGTTGTGAACCCCTAAAACCCACGACAGTCCTACTAAGCACTGCTCAGACTGGAATACCTTAACACTGCAAATTAAGATGCTGTAATTGTAGTACAAGTAGACATACCCACACCAGTTTTAATCTACAGAGCGCAGGTAACAATGGTAGTGAAAATGTGGGAGCATGGACTTCAGCATTGTTAGCAATGGTCCAATAAAATATATTACCTCACCCACCTTGTCTCCCTATATAATCTTCATTAAAGCTGGTTTGATCTACAGCGGGGGTAGTCAATTATTTTTGTCAAGGTCCAAATTTCTGGGTCAAGGTATAACCAAGGTCCAGGTTCCAGGGGAAATAATGAAAAATACTAACAATAATGATAATAAGTAAATACAGGGCTGCCCGGGGGAGGGGGGGGCGGCAAGTGGGGCAATTTGCCCCAGGCCCCGCAGGGGCCCCCACGAGAGTTTTTCGGGGCCCCTGGAGCGGGGTCCTTCACTCGCTCCGGGGGCCCCGGAAAACTCTTGCGGGGCCCAGGCCCCCGGAGCTTCTTCTGCTCCGGGTCTTCGGCGGCAATTCGGCGGTGGGGGGTCCTTCCGCTCCAGGACCCACCGCCGAAGTGCCCTGAAGACCAGTGGCGGGGGGTCCTTCTGCCCCGGGACCCGCCGCCGAAGTGCCGGGTCTTCAGCGGCAATTCGGCAGCGGGGGCCCCCCGCCGCCGAAGACCCCAGGCCCCCTGAATCCTCTGGGCGGCCCTGAGTAAATAAAAAGATTTCGGGGTCTGTTCAAAAGCATCTGGCAGTCCAGATTTGGCCCACAGTCTGCCTATTGACTACCCCTGGTCTATAGTCTTCAAGGACCTTTAGCACTGCCACACACAAACACACGCACCCTCCCACCAGTCAACTCCCACCACTGGCTGAAGGAAAAACATCCTTTTCCCTCCACATGGTGTGCAGTGATGTAGGTTCAGTTCACATCTGTGATACCACAGATGACACCACCATCCATTGCAATAGAGAAGACACCTTGCTCCACAGTACAGTGCCACGGGGGGACACTCCTCACACCTTGGCTCAATACTCCTCTCACCCCACTCTGCATTTCCACAGGACAGTGCCCCACCACAACGCCATGCCATGAAACAACACCCCACCCACCCCATTGTGTAATGCAATAGGATGATGCCCACGCCCCCCCACCGGAGCAATGCTGTGGGGCAACACAATAATGCAATAAAGCAAGGCCCATGACCACACAGTGCAATGGCACCTGGTGTCGCCTCCAAGCCACTACATGCATGATGCCACAGGGACACAGTAGTGGCCCCACTCATGCCCAACCAGGGTGCAATGCTGTGATGTGGCACCGGCCCTCTCCCACACAGGGGGGCACCCAGGGCGGTGCAATGCCCCCTTCAACGGGGCCTCGTCACCCAGCGCCCAATGGGAGGGGAAGCCTATGGGGTGACGTCACATCGGAGGCTCGGATGCACCAGATGGGGAGAACGAAGTGCCAAGGCCATCTTCCAGTCTCCATGGAAACCCGTGCCGGTCCCTGATTGGCGGGTGGCCCGGCCCCGTCCCGGGAAGCGCAGAGATTCGGGCGTCCGCAGCGAATCCTTCTGCTTCGCTCGATCCTCTCACTCACCCGAATTAGCGGCTCCCGTTACCATGGGAACCCGCTCCGCCGTCCACTTCCGCTGACGTCAGCGCCGACCCCGGAAGTGGCTGCTTGGAGGTCAGCCGCCGCGCTCGTGGGTTGCCTGCTCTGTGACGACTTCCCGCTGCTCGGGGTCTGCAGTTGGTATCGCGTCGCGAGATTCTCGCGCCGGGCCGGCAGCATGTCCGACAACGAGGACAAGTGAGAAGGAGGCGGGGGGCTCGTGTCCAGCCGGGGTGAGGGGTCAGGCGGGTCTCGGCAGGGGGCGGCCCAGCGAAGGGGTGGAGGTGAAGAGGGATTCCAAGGGACGCGGGGCAGTGCGGGGGGGGCAAGTGGGGCGGGGACGGGGGGCCGAGGAGAGCGGGTGGGGGGATGGACGGGGGGCGCCGACGGGAGTGGGCGGGGACGGGGGGCCGAGGGGAGCGGGTGGAGGGCCGAGGGGAGCGGGGGGATGGTTGGGGGTGGGGCGGAGGGGAGCGGGGGGATGGGTAGGGGTGGTGATGGGGTCGCCGAGGGGAGCGGGTGGATGGATGGACGGGGGGCGCCGGGGGGATGGGTGGGGGTGGGGACGGGGGGCGCTGAGGGGAGCGGGGGGCAAAGGGGAGCGGGGGGATGGGTGAGGGTGGGGCGGAGGGGAGTGGATGGATGGGTGGGGACGGGGGGCGCCGAGGGGAGCGGGTGGATGGACGGGGGGCGCCGAGGGGAGCTGGGGGATGGTTGGGGGTGGGGCGGAGGACCAAGGGGAGCAGGTAGATGGGTGGAGGCGGGGAGGGTGTCGAGGGGAGCAGGTGCGGTATTGCAGGGGAGAAGCAGGGAGCAGTGCGGGGTGGCCCGAGGGGAGCAGAGTGGGGAGGCAGCAGGGCTGCATTCGGATCTCCAACGTGGGCGGCAGCAGCCTCTAGGCTGGGATCTGGCTGTAGAGCGATAAGTGACCTTGTGTCAACTCCCATTCTTTCATGTATTTATACCTGCTCCTGTATTTTCCACTCCATGCATCTGATGAAGTGGGTTCTTGCCCATGAAAGCTTATGCCCAAATAAATTTTTAAGTCTCTAAGGTGCCACAAGGACTCCTCATTGTTTTTGCTGATACAGACTAACAGGGCTACTACTCTGAAACTTGCAACAGAGAGTCCTGTGGCCCCTTTAAGACTAACGGATGTATTGGAGCATAAGCTTTCGTGGGTGAATACCCACTTCATCAGACGCATGACCTGAAACTTGTGTCTTTTATCACTCACAGCTTTGATGGTGACGACTTTGATGATGTGGAGGAAGATGAAGGGCTAGATGACTTGGAGAACGCAGAGGAGGTTAGTGCTCAAACCCTTCTTCCCCATAGCAGTCTGCACAGTGCCCACATGCTTCACCTAGCCTCCTTTTTTATACAGCATGTACATTTTTCCTAGACCACTCCCAAGTTCCTGTCATCCAGGAGCTAGTGACTGGGAATGGCAATTGAACCAAAGTCCCTATGATTGCACTGCAGGGTGCCGGCTCCTAGAGCACTCAGCTGCCATAAAAAAGATGGAGAAAAGTTGTTCTCTTGTCACAGAGGGCAGGACAAGAGGCAATGGGTTCACACTACAGCATAGCAGATATAGATTAAATCTCAGGAAACACTTCCTAACTGTAAGAACAATAGGATAATGGAACAGACGCCTAGGGAGGTTGTGGAAACTCCTTCACTGGAGGTTTTCAAAAAGAGGCTGGACAGCCATCTGTCTTGGATGGTTTAGATACAACAAATCCTGCATCTTGGCAGTGGGTTAGACTAGATGACCCTTGCGGTCCCTTCTAACCCTATGATTCTATGATCTTGGCCCTGTCGCGCTCTAGAGAGTGAGACACTAGGAATGGGATTAGAACCCAAGTCTCCAATATGGAAGTTCAAAGAACCAGCTGTTAGGGCACTGGACCCAGAACCTCAGAAAGCCAGTCTTGGTGTCTCTGTATATTAATCAGATAAATATACACTTCCCAACTGGGCTTTCTACTCTGCTTTACTCAAAGTCCTTGGCTCGAATTCTGTGTAGACTTTAAACCTTCATTCTTTGATGGTTCTAAAGTCTGACAAAATCTGTTAAGGATCTAGAGGTCCCTCAGTGTGCTTACAATAGCTTATATTCCTTTATTTCTTCAGGAGGGTCAAGAGAATGTAGAAATCCTTCCATCTGGAGAGAGACAGCAGGCAAATCAGAAGCGGATCACGACTCCATACATGACCAAATATGAGCGAGCCAGAGTCCTGGGCACTCGTGCACTCCAGATAGCGTAAGTACACTTCTTCCACACCCCAGCCTTGGCAGTGGCATCTCATGGCATTTCAAAATGTTTTTTCCATGTTTAAGTTACTTTCTTACTGTTTGGGATCTTCCATAGCTCTGATGATTACCCACCTGCCCTGTGAGGTTCTGTGTCATAGCTACTGCCAGCTGCGAAGTGCAAGGGCCTGGAAATGTCTCTGCAGCCTTCCTAGAGCATTACACCCAGGACAGTGCTACTGATGGCATATCCTTTATGCCATCTGTCTCAGTTGCTTCTGAAGTGGGAGGCATTTCTCATCTGTAATCAGTCCTCTCTGCTGAAGGCAACGGGAGGGTGGGAGTAGTGTTCTAGGTGTATCTCCTTCCTTACCCAAGGGGAAACCAAACTCTGCTGAGAAACTCAGGATGTTTACAAAAGTCAAGACCCCAGGGGAAATTCGAGGTCTTCATCAACAAATATCATAGGACTGTAGAAAGTACAAATGGAAAACATACCTAAACTTTTAGATTGCAATTATTTTGAGGGCAGGGACTGTCATTTACTTGCTTGGACAGCAGCTGGGACAATGGTGCCCCAGCGTGGCTAGCTTCCCAGCACTACTACTGTTCATGTACCATCCCACCCGCTGTTCGTGGAGGACTGCTCTCTGCTTTCTCTGCTGCTTTGTCCAGTCTAATTTTAAATTATGCAAGTCAATGGGACTTGCACTCCTTGGGAGACTGTACCACAGACTAATAATCTCAGCCTTAGGAAAGTTTATTTATATCCATCTGAAATAATGTCTTTGCTTGTTTTCATCCTGTTACTCATGGTTATACCCTTTCAAATCACCCCAAACAATTCCTCTATCTCTCCTTAGTCATTGCTTTGCAGAGATATTATTTGCCTAGCCATCATTTGGCAAAGCCATTCTTTGCATGTTCTTTTAATTCTCTGGAAGGCAAAAAAAAAAAAAAGTTCTGAGCAATGAAGTGGGTCCATCATGGCTCTGAATCCAAAACAGGCTGGTGCCTGTTGCTACATTAGCTACTCAAGCTGTCTTTAATTCCAAATCTAGGCCAGCAGCATCCCCCAGTGGCCAAGTTCACACATGCAGTAGAATCTCAGAGTTACGAACATCTTGGGAATGGAGCTTGTTTGTAACTCCGAATTGTTAGTCGCTCTGAACAAAACGTTATGGTTGTTCTTTCAAAAGTTTACAACTGAACATTGACTTAATACAGCTTTGAAACTTTACTATGCAGAAGAAAAATGCCGCTTTCCCTTTTTTTAGTAGTTTAACACTATACTGTATTTGCTATTTTTTTTTGGTCTCTGCTGCTGCCTGATTGCGTACTTCTGGTTCTAAATGAGGTGTGTGGTTGACTGGTCAGTTCGTAACTCTGAGGTTCTACTGTAATAGCGCGTGCTTCCTTTGCTGCCATCTCTTAAAAGGAAAGTTACAGATAATCCTCATCTTTGACACCCCACTCTGACATCCCTTCCAAAAAATACATTACATTTTCTATAGTCAGGAGTCCTGATTAAGAAAATCAGCCCCTCTCTTTCTCCCAAAACAAGATCTGCAAGATATTGAGCATCTCAGCAAAACAACAAATCCAATAGGTGTGGAGGTGAGGGGATGATTTCAGTGTGCCTTCTATTGGCTAATAAATGGTACTTATTACTGGGTTAATTTTAGAGTCCCTGTTTTCCATCCTCACATTAAAATATGTAGGGAAGTGACCCCTGAAGGGATGTGGGCTTCATTGTGAATCTCAGATCCCAGCTTGTGAGCAAAACTGAGAGAAGGGCCATGCGGGGCATTCAACTAAAAACTCTGCCTGTGGCCACTTGCACCCTGTCACTAACTGCCAGACATGCTACTGCCACAATAGGAAAGGGTCTTGGGATGAGAGAGATTCCTGAAGAGCTTTGTCCTCCAAGTCAATAGAGACCTTACAAATCAGAATTGCACCTGTCATTCCGTCCTTCATACTCTGCTGGACTTTATCTGGGGAACAGATATGTCTGTGAAGCAAGTATCCCCACATGCTTTAGCATATTTCTCCCACTTCCTTCTGTCCCCCTTGTGATTGTGAATATTCTTCCTCTTAGGATGTGTGCTCCAGTCATGGTAGAGTTGGAAGGAGAGACAGATCCTCTGCTGATTGCAATGAAAGAACTCAAGTAAGTCCTGGAGATCTTGGCAGTGAGATGTCCTTAGAGTTATGTTCCTCTCGTCAACACTCCAATGATGAGGGTTTATTTCCATTAGTTCCCGAGGCTACAGTTTGCGCACTCTCTTGATAACAGTGGGGGAATACAATCTCCATGTTCATTCAGGCAGTCTGTCCTTGCATCTGTGTCCCTCTAAATCAGGTTTGTGGCTAGAATGGAATTCCTGGCCTGGGAGTATGAATCCCCCTTCCTCTTTTCCGTTCGGAATCTGTTCCCAGCAGCAGGTAGCTTGGGTGTCTGTATTCTCCAGTCCTAGGAACTTCTGCAACGTCCTACTGGTTAGCAACATTTTCCTGTTTTACTTATTGTAAATTGGAAGTCATATTTTTTCTTTAACAGGATCCTTAAGGCCCCATCATGAACTTGTTGGGATCGGAAAAGTCCCTGATTGGAACTGATTCAAATGTAGCCATTTGGACAAATTCATATTTTCACATATTTCCACTGAAAAAATAATGTTGCTTAATAGATTAAAATGACTGCAAACACATGGTGGTCACATTAAGAATTCCCTGACTCCCTCCACCTGTTCCCTCCTGTATTCTGTTTCTCCCTGCTGCCCAATTCCTTGTGCCACAGCTTCTGTGATATGAGAGAGAGAGACACGCATACACACCTACCAGCTGCCTAGCCTGATTCCCACCACCTCTCAGGCAGTGGAGCTTTGGATTGGTATCTGGATACTGACACACATCATTTGAATTTCAAATGCCCAGAGTTCCTAGCACAGCCTGTGACCTAGCAGACTGGCCCATCAAATAGCTAACGATTTCCCCACTTACTCATCAGATACTGGTTTTTGAGTGGAACTGGTGTTTTTGTTTGGTTGGGATTTTTATGCTTCAATTCATTGTAGTTTGTCCTGCAGACTTTACACCCTCATAAGAGAGCCTTATCTTAACTGCATTCCTTCACCTTTATCAGCAGCCAATACCATCTCCGTTTGTGCTCATGGCTGATCTGAAACAGCCAGAGCTGGTTCTGGTCAGTGCTAGAGTGCAAGACCTGGGAAATAATCAGAGGTGTTGTAGGAAGTAGTGATTGTTTCTTGACAGAGGGTGCTCTGCTCTGTCAATACCAAGGCAATGCCTCAGGATGGTGCTAATCGAGTGCTTTGCTACGGGAGAGGCCATCTTTTGGTTAAGACTTAAAACCATTATTCTGAATGCTTGTGACCATTAAAGATCCCATGTTATTTTTCACAAACTGTAGGGTTGTAAGCCTCAGGTCCTGGCCCAATTCCAATCTGGTTAATTACATTCTGCTGACTTAAAAATGCCTCATGTAGATTAAATTTAATTCAGTGTTTTCTAACTTTGTGTCTTGAACTGTGGTGCACTGTTGCTGGGCACTGTTAGCAGCAGCTGCGTTCTGACTTAGAGGTAGCCGTTTTTGGAGGTGGTGGAAATGATCTCTGTTCTGTGCATGCTTAAAATATATCAAGTGCTTTGGATGAAAGATACTATGTAAATGTTAGTTGTTTATGAAATTCTTCACAACTCTCATTGCGCTATCTGAAGTGGTTTGTGGAGAACTTATCACTGTGGGTTTCCTGTCCGTCAGAACAGTAGCTTCATTTTTCAGTTCCATTGGCTCTCCCACATGCCTCTTGGGATGCGCAGTCTCTTACTGTTGTGATGTTCTGTGGCTTTAGATTGTGTCCAGTGTAGGAATTCAGCACTGCAAAGTGCTGAGCTCCTCCGTTTTTTGACTTCTTTGGGGGTGCACAGCGCCTTATGGGATCTGACCTTCCAAGGGAAAGAACTTTCATTGTAATTCCCAATCATGAGCACCCCACCACTACACCAGAAATCTGCTAATGAAACAAAACCAGTGAGTTACTAGCTCTCACCAGCATAGCACATCTGGACTCCTGTAGCTTGCTGAGAGGGTGTAATTAAAGCTCTGGCATTTTCATTTACCTCTCTGTCCTCCCTTCAGAGCTCGGAAGATTCCCATAATCATCCGCAGGTACCTGCCAGATGGAAGCTATGAAGACTGGGGTGTGGATGAGCTAATTATCACAGACTGACCTACTTCTTGTCATTGTCCTTGGTTCCTCCTTCACCTGCAGATGCTTTTATTTTTGTTTATATTTGTGTAAATAAATAATAAACCCCCATTTTTAAGCAAATTGTGGGTTTTTTCCCCCCTTACACAGTTCAGTCTGCTGTGGCTGGGGGGAGACGGCCTCTTCCTCCTTTCCATCCATTTAGATCTGTAGTTATTCCTTCCCTCTGCCTCAGCCAGCCCTGGCCTCTCTCTTTAGAAGCACAGTGCCTGTTAACTTGCTGTTGGGCTCACTGAGCAGGGTGAAGTGTCTTTCCCTCAGTGCTTCCGCCTCAGAAGCCCTGTTCTTGTAAGCTAGTGTAAAGATTGAGGGGAGCAGCTGTTTTCCCCCTACTTAGTGGCCCCTCATCATATTAAACCTTTGCTCTATAAAAATGATCCTGCAGCTGCCTGGCTTCCAGAAACCCTCTGAAGCAATTATGAACCCTCTGCCCACACCCCTTTTTACAACAGCCAGGGGTTGGAGTGGAGGAGACACCTCCATTGCCTTCCAGTAGACAGGAGGGCCTTTGTGCCCTGGAGCAGGTTGCCGTGGAAACCCCCAATTTCCTCTCTGATCAGGGCTGGCTCTGGGGGCTTCTCAGGAGTATCGTAGAGCGGCTCTCATCAAATCCCCCATTGTTTCTCCACTCCTGCCCCCCACTTCTTATCAATCACCAGGATCCCCTTTCAGTGGCAATGCCCCAGCAGGAAGCGCAGTTGCTGGCCTGAATCCCCACCAACTGGGAACCTGTTCAACAACTCTAGGCGCAGTCTGTGCTTCAACCACATATACAGTCATCCCCTCTCCCCATAAGTCTACCGGTGCCTTAGCCATTGCCCATCTGTATGTACACATGTGTTCCCTCTCCCCCCCACCCCCATTACTACAATAGCTAGAGAACCATTAACAGCTTGAGTTTTTTTCAACAGTCTGACTGGTTAAGAAGTTGTGACGTTGTCCTTTAAGACAGCAGCAGTCATGTTAACCTCCACTGTTGACATGGGCCAAGAGAGGAGCACAAATGGGGGCCCACTCCTCTGCCACTAAGAGAAGCTGTTTCTCCATGGTAAAGTCCTCATGGGCCTAAACACTGGTGCTGCCTCTAGATTTTGCTCTGAAGCCTTTATGTGTGTGTAAGGACTTCAGCTCTTGGGGCAAAAAAGCCAACGGGAGGGTAAAACAGCTAGTGCCTTTCATCAGGGCTGATTGCATTATTAAAAATTGCTCTTGGGTTTAAAAAAACAAAACCACCACCAATCTTTGGTTGTGCATGCTGCCCTCTGCTGTAGCTTCATACCTGAAGCACAGGAGCTGTTTTGCCCTTGGATAACATTTCAGTGCCTGTGCTCTTAGAGACAGTTAACATTTGTAAAATATATACCCCCCACACACACTGTTTGTGAGTGCCCACTTTCCCTAGGGGTTTATATCCACCTGCCTGTAGAATTGTTATACAGCCCTACAGTATCCCAACTTCTGTACGTTACTCATATAATCATTTAACAAATCATATAGGCACCAATTAATCTCCCTCGTGTGTGTATAGGGACATGAGACATAAATAAGGGGATGGCATCTGAGGCAAGCTTAAAAAAGCTGAATAGGTCATTGGCCAAATGAGGTAAAGGGGGGGACATATACCCAGCTGCATCTAGGGAAAGGGTGTAAACTCTCAGGAAGCCAAGTATTTGCTGTCCATGCCATCCTTGCCAAGAAAAGGTTAATCCACAGAGCGATGGCCTTCAGCCCTCTTCCCCCACCCCTCCATGGAATCCTTTAATCACGTTGGCGCGGTGAAATTTCAGTCATGAACGGTGTCTTTGTGCAATCGTTTTGGCGTCCGCAATGGAGTGCAGGGGTCGTTTTCTCGGCCCTTTTTTTTTAAATGGCTTCTTTGTTTCATACCCGCCTTCTCCCCCCACCCCACCCCCCAGCATTGCATCTGTATCAGATACGATTAAAGGGATAGCAAAGGACTCTGGGCCAGCTCCTGCTTGGCTGCAAGGGGAGTGTTTAACCCCTTCGTTCCCATTCCAGAGGCTAAGGGTGGGGTTGTTCTGGATTCTGTATCAGCTGGGGGTAGAGGCCTGGGCGATACTGGGCCCCCTCCCACTAGATGCTGATCAAATGAGAACCCCACCTCCTTCCTTAAACTGGAGAGATATGGGAGGACATTTGTATCATGTGAGTAGGAATTTTCTTTTCTCACTCCTCACCTACCTTTCACCCCTTGTGCTCAGCCCCCTTCCTCCCCACACAGTCAGTCCCTTCCCTTTGAGCTGTCAAACAACGTCCTCAATCGATTGTCCTGCAGACCCTTCCCCCGGTCAGTGGTTTATAGTGAGATCTCCCTGCTCTCCTCCCTTTCAAAGGTTTTGCCCACCGCTCTGGTTCCCTTTCATTTCCCTGCACCAAACGAACTAATCTATGTGTTTAGGTCTGAGTCATTCCACTGATGGTGCTTGTGTGCATCCTGTGGTTCTATCCAGCTAACACTGCCCTGGGGAGACTTTGTTCTGAAGTGGGGCGGGCTCTATCATGTGTTATGCTCATGGAGGGAAGTAGGTTGGTGTTCATGTGTGCAGGATCCACGTAGGTGGGCAAGTAGGCCCTGCTTAGTAGGTGCCAGATGTAATTTGGAGGTCAGAAGATATTGATAGCATTCAGGAATGTGTGTGGGGAAAGAGGGCTTCTGGTATGGAAGTATCATGATCTAGTGCTTGGAGCTGAGACTCGAGGTGAGGAGAAGAGAAACAAGAGGCCCCTAGTCCAGGCAACACTTAACTCACTGTCAATATCCTTTCAGTGATGGGCATAGAAGAAATGTGTACACGCACACAGGGTCTGTGCCATATAAAGGCCCCCCTTCCCTCCTACTGGGGAGGAAGGATAAAATGTGTCTGAAAGGGGAACAAATATTAAAAAAAAAAAAAAAAAATGGACACACACAAATGAAACCTTTAAGTTTATTATTCCATACATTTAATGCAGAGTTAATGGTGCTAGGACAGCATATTCTGGAGACAGGGAGAGGGGCTTGGTGGGAGGGGAAGGTGTAATGGAATAAATAAGGGGGGGGGACAGCGATGGGTTACATGCATACAGGGGAGCAAACGTACTACATGCTCTTTTCAAACACGACAGAGGAGGAGTCAGCCAAAGCTAAGGGTGTATAAAGATCATCCTCAGCGGTCTCAGTCGAAGGAGAAAAATGGTAGTGAGGATCACAAGTTCTACTTGGTCAATCTGTCTCATCTTCCCAGACCTGCATATCAGCTGGGGGTTCCATCGTGTGTTTTGGTGGCCAATGGGAGGGCATCATCTTCTCCCACCTTGAGTTATGACATCCTTCATGTCAGCATTCTCTCTGGCACTGTGAAGCCCTGCTAGTCCTGAAGATGTGGGATGGGCAAGCAGACCACCCAAGAGAGCAAGGGTGGGAAGATGAAGACAAGAAACAGGGGAACCAGTCTGACCACTGAGGATGGTTGCTTCCAGATTGAAACCCAAAAGGGAAGGCGAGTTCATTTTCTTTTTACGTGGACTAATTGTCTTTATGCTTATCCACCAACACTGAGAGCTTTCCCCCCAATTGGTGCCACAAAAATATCTTCCCCTTCTTTATGAGGGTAGGCCTAAGGTGTTGGCAAATTGGAACAAGCAATGAACAGGCAGGGAAGGGATGTGTTCTTTAGTTCAGCTCTGCTTGAGTCCCAACCTTGCAGCTTTAAGGTGATTATTTTCGCAAACTGTGTTTGGGCAAGTGGGATTCATGCTGATGCTTCTGGTTGCCGCAATATCTTCAGCTACTCTTCCCTCACATCCCATGCACGCACACACACACACGGGCCAGAAGGACAAACACTGCCTTGGCAGTGTATCTTTTGGAATATTAGAGGGTGAATGGAAGGATTTAGAAGGGACCAGGAAATGTTTGAAACAAACAAAATACAAAATAATCGTAAGAAAGGAAGATTCCGTCTCTGTTGCCTTAACAGTCCAAGAGGCCACACACACACCCCCGCCCTCACATGTATGTTGTGACACGAATAAGGCTAGAACCAGCGATATGGTTCCTGAGTCCAGTACAGTGCGGTACAGTACAGTAAAGGGAGGGTGGGTTGAGGGGAGGATAGATGCGGATGTGGAAGTCAATAGGAAAGCAAGCACAGGTTGGTCTTCCAACAGGGATCAAGAGTCATGCATGTGTGAATTTTAGACGGGAACGTTGCAGAGCACTGATCACAAGGAAGTTGACTTTACAGCCCTACCTCTCCTCCCACAACATGTCCACCAGGGTGCCCAGCCAGCTGCTCTTCACCCACAACAGGTGACAAAGAGTTGGCCATTGTGGCCTATCCAAAACACTTGCTAAATCACTGAAGCAGGTGGGGGGCGGTTAAGGATGGGGGGTATCTCGTATCTTACAGTCCAGGGTCTGCACAACGAAACCCACCATGACCAGTCACTCCATGTCTAGAATCATCCTCATCTAGAAGGCCAAAAGGGTTTTGCAAGCCAATCGGGTTGGCATACATTGAATTGGGGGCGGGGGGAAAGGGGTAAAACCTTCCTCTAGGCGGTGAGCCAGCGATAACCGGGGTCAAGATAGGCATGTCTGGATACTCAGTGGGTTCTGATGGCTGGATTACACTGAATGACCTCGGAGTTCAGAGGCCCTCCTGCCTGTGCTGATGCTTCGGAGCCTTTCTGTTGCTGCTTTGGTCACTGTTCCCCTTTTCCTACGGTCTGGAGAGAGTTGTATACACGGGCTGTTCCCAATGTGTGGGGCTGTGGGACTGTGGCACAGAGGGTGCAGGGTCAGAGATGGCAGTGTATAGGGGACGTTGCGAGGGTCCCATATACGAGAAGGCAGAGTAGAGGCCAGAGGCTTGGCTGGAGTGGCTATAGTAGGGTCCTGAGGGCTGGTGGTCGGGGTAGTCAAACTGGGGCCTGGAGATGGAGGGGAAAGCCGAGCCATAGTGGGGCAGGCTCAGGGACGTATATGCTATCTGGGAAGTGGAGGGCTGGTCAGTGTAATGGCCTCCAGGGGCAGAACCCTCCGTTTTCACCTGTGCCTT